TCACCGAAACGTCGCCAAGATACTCTTAAACTTACACGGGAAAAGACCCGAACACACCTAGACCTACATACCTGTACCCGTGAAAATCTACGAATATACATACATACATACATATATAGATATATAGATATAGATATAGATATAGATGATATATAGATATAGATATAGATATAGATAAATAAATAAATAAATAAAAAATCTGGTTAAGGTTGGACAATTGCAAAAAAAAATGGAAGATTTTTACAGATATCAAAATATATAGGAAAACATATGATTTATTATTGTAATCCAACAATAAACCTACCATTCTATGGCATAAAGCAAAATTGGAGTTATTGGTTTAGCATAATGTATGAATCCCTCTACTTATTTTATGGGTGGACCATATTTTTGTGGCCATCATTGCATTCAACATTGAGTCAGGGTATTGTGTTCTGCCGGCAGCCTGTGGAGCTGGCAGCCAAGTTGGACAGTGGGGAGGAACATGGGCCAGTCCAGAAGTCTGGGGAGGACTCGGATGAGGGTCCTGCGTCCAATACAGAAATGGGGCCAGGGCCATCTGGGAGTTATGTGCTAACTCCAGAGCCTCCATAATTTGACAGCAGCGAGGCAGAGGAACGGGGGAGCCTGTTTCCAGTGTGCGCATACGCAGAGCTGCCAGAAGGCAAGAACAGTTAAGACAAAAGGGGTGACTCGGGAGTAAGGCTTGGAGGTGATTGGCCCTCCCATAAGACATAAAGGAGGAGCAAAGGGACAGGAACCTTTGCAGGAAGCAACGTTGTTCATACTGATCAGTTTGAAACCTGAAACTCCGTGTTGAATTTGTGCTCCTTGTATAACTAATTGGAAATTTAGTCATTGGCAGCATTTCAAGGAAGATAAAGGTGTGTGCTTATCAGACTTATCCTGAAGGACTTTGGCAGACTTCCTTGGGACTATTTACAAACTGTTTGAGACTCATTACGGGCTGTGAATGACTATAATCCAGCTGTTGAAATAAAGAAAAAAGGGTTTTGGAACTAATGTGTGTTTGTTAGTGTCTCAATAAGCCTTGGTCAGAACACAGGGGATGATAGCAAGACTGAGAGCAAGAATGATGGTAGAGGCACACAACCATGCAGGCAGGACTGTATTTTGGGGGAAGCTTTTTGAAAAGGAATTGTTTAGCTTTAATCAAATGAAAGAAAGAGCAAAAAAAACAAACAATAGAAACTCTTTTATATCTTGGATATTGGGTTAATACGTCATAATAAAGATCAAGATTGCTATTTCAGTGGCAAAAAAAAATCCTACAGCAGAATCTCTTCCTATTTTCTGATCAACTACCTACATCAAACCATTTACAAAAGATATTCTGCTGGTGTCTGACTGACTTCCTGAAACAGATGTCTATGTATTATTTAAAAGAACACATGAATGCACAATTTATTTTAATTAAATAAGTTAAATTGACTATGACATATTGCCAACAAATATCCAAAACAGAATTATGGATTGGCTTTGGAGAACATGGAAATGAATATTATTTACAAAATTAACTTACTCAAATTCTAAATTCTAATTCATGTAATTTGTTATAAAATTTGGGAAATGAAAAAAATATCGGTTGCAACTTTTCAGCAACGTAGCTGTCCACAGTGCATACTTGCTAATATTATGTTATTTTTATTGTTGCCTGCTTGTACCAGAGGTTCATAGCAAATTAAACAAAAGTAATACCGCAACCATTTTAATTAACATGCCCCTAAACAAAAGTTTCAACCATAATATATTGCAGATGTCTAATTATATATTGGATTCAATGCTTTCATGCAGTAAAGCAATTAGTTTATTTACCAAGAGAAAATATTTCCCATAATAGAATGCCATAGGACCAGACATCACTTAATGTGGTATACAGGTTGTCAAAAATGCTTTCAGGGGCCATCCACTTCACTGGAAGAAAGGTCTGAAAAAAGCAAAGTTTAATTAGGAAATATGCAAGTGTTGTCATAAACGAAATATTCACTATCAGGGAGTCTTTAAGTATTGTGGCCCGGCGGCGGCGGCTAGCGAAGCTGGCAGTAGAGTCGAACAGTGAGGAGATTGGGGAGGAAACTGGGCCAGTCCTGGAGGCTGAGGAAGGCTCGGATGAGGGCTCTGCATCAGAGGCAGAGATAGGCCAGGGCGGGCTGGCAGTTATCAGCTGCCTTCGGAGTCGGACATCAGTGAGGCAGAAGAACAGCTGGAGCCTGTTCCCAGTGTGCGCATGTGCAGAGCTACCAGAAGAAGGGAACAGCTAAGGAACAAGGCTTGACTTGGGAGTAAGGCCACAGGTGGACAGTGAATGGCCCCTCCCATAGGGATTAAAAGAGGAGCAAAGGGGTAGGGGGCTTTTGCAGGAAACAATTCGTTCATTGCAGCAGTGTGAAGATCTGTCTGTGCATCTCAGAGACTCTGTGCTGAGTCCTTCCTTGTCAGCCCTGCATTTGAAAATATTTACTTGGCAGCTCTCCAGGCTAGATAAGGTCTGTGCTCCTAATTAAGACCCTTGAAAAATTCTTTGCCAAGCCTTTGGCTGAAGGTGAATGCAAGAAATTCACCTTCGTTTAATAAAAGGGGTTTTGCCGGGACAAAAAAGTCTGCTTAGTGCTTTTTGGGGAAACCTAGGTCAATTCATAAGCCACAAGAATGTGGGAAGGTAGGTAGCAAAGAGACTAAAGTTGGCCATTTTTTCAGTGTTGTGGCTTGCTTTTCACCCACCCCATGTTACAACAACAGCAATACATACACTGCCTTTGGAGACATAGTTGGAATCATGCATGATGTCTCTTGCTAGTCCAAAGTCACAGATCTTCACAATTTTTCCTTGGGCTAAGAGGACGTTTCGTGCTGCCAGATCACGGTGCACGCACTGTAAAAAAAAAGTACACTTTTTATAATATATACATATCATAATATATAATATTTAGAATAACATCATGCCTTTGGTATACAGTGGTACCTTGGTACTCAACTGCTTTGAAACTCATCAAATTTGGTACTCAATGCATTTTAATGCGAAATGTTTGTCCCAGTACTCCTCCTTTGTTTGGTACTCAACACACAAGCTAGAACTTGTCGGTGTTGGCTTCCTTGTGACTCACTACATTATGGGGAAAAATTGTTTGGACCTCATTGTTTTTGGTACTCATCATGCCTCCCGAACTCAATTAACGATACCCAAAGGTGCTTTTTCAAGAGGTAACTGGACTTTCTTGTTTTTCTTTGAAGACGTTTTGCTTCTCATCCAAGAAGCTTCTTCAGCTCTGACTGGATTGGTGGGGAATGGAAGGATTTATATTCCTCACAGACAGCTGGTCATTTGCAGAAGAAAGTCCAGGTGCCTCTTGAAAAAGCACCTGTGGAACAACCGTGACCTGGATGATTAAGAATCTCCATTTAGTTATACCCTTTTGATGAACATGCATCGAATGGTGCAGGAATGTGAATGGATTTCCAGAAAAACTACAGACTACCAGAACCATTTGTGCTTCAGTTTGAGATGCTGTTCTGACCCACGCCCTTTTCCAACAAATCAAACACAATCCAAAAGGAACAGAAACCTTGTAATGCTTTTACAAAATAATTAGCTTGATAAGCACAAGCCTTGCCAAACTGTGCGAGACTTGCCAAAAGATAACAAGCAAGAAATAATTTGCAATACAAGAATCTTCAAATACAAAGTCAGGATACTAGAATGTCTACGAGGCTGGAGTTTTCAAAACGTCTTTGCCTTCTGCAAAGTATGTTCCTTTCACAGCTGGCTTTTATCTTCTTGAAGGAGGGGCCGTTATCTTGCAGCCTTACTCCCGAGTTGCCCGTGCTGTTGTAGCTGCTCTTTCCTATAAGCAATCCTGTGCACACGTGCACTTGGCACAGGCTCCTCGGGAACCTCCTCATCACTGCTGCCAGCCCCCACAATCTCCAAAGGTAGCAGTCCACTCCCTAATGGTCCTGGCCCCTCATCTGAGTCCTCGCTCTCCTCATCCGTCTACACCTGCTGCCGGCTAACCTCAACAGATGCAGACACTACTCAGGTGACCGTGAGAACAGATAAACTTCCAGTGGTCTCAACGACGCTCTAAAAGAACACAAATGACCAACTGTCTGCAAGGAATATAAATCCTTCCATTCCCCACCATCCAGTCAGAGTCGAAGAAACTTCTTGGATGAGAAGCGAAACGTCTTCAAGGAAAAATCAGAAACTAATATTCAAAAACATTTCAAAAACAAAGAAAGTCCAGTTGCCTCTTGAAAAAGCACCTTTGGGACAACTGTGACCTGGATGACTGAGAATCTCTATAGACAATTAATGATGAGTACCAAGGTACCACTGAGAGTACAGTACTTGGCTAATGCTAGTGAGCAACAATGCACGGATCTTACACATTTGAAATGTTAAAGGTGGGCACTTTAGAGGTGAATACTATTGAGAGTGTTTGCAGCGATTCAGTGCCAGAAAATAAACACAGATAGCTGATACTTCATTTAACATATTTATAAACACAAGTAGATTTTACAAACCAGTTGTAGATTTCTCCAACATGGAGCAAATTCAAACAGAAACATGTTGCAAGTTCAGAGCAGAGCTCCAGTCTTCAGCAAGCAAGCAAGTTAGTTTCATCTTCAATAGACAGACTCAGAGCTCAACATAGCTGCAGAGTTGCAGAGCTTAATAATAGAACCAGGCCTAGGCTACTTTTAGTTTCAGTTTCCAGCCTAGGCTAATTCTAGTTTCAGTTTCCAAAACAGTCCTCATTGGCTGATTTAGTTGCTATGCCTATTCATTGGCTGACCTTGTTACCATGCTCTATTCCAGTTGATGAATATACTCTGACAAATACTCTCTTAGATGTCTTTTCCATCTTTCAAACGTGTCCCTTTAGTACAAAGATCATTGCAATGTAGTTTACTTAAGGGAAAGGAAGAGGAAGAATGAGTGCAGACACACCAAATCGAGAAGACTAAGCAAAATTTGTTTCTGAGCCTGGCATGCACTTTTGGCACTGTCCCTCTCTTGACCACATGAAAATTTGAAGCTGCCTAGATCCTAACATAGAAACTGTGACTTATGCATAAGCTATGTAATGGCAAGCAGATCTATGGGATAAGTTGGGGGAAGAATTGCTGACAGGGATAAACTCCTACCACCCCACAGGGAGATCACTGTGAAGACTGTCCTTCTTGGGGTTCAACACTTAAAATCTGGTTGGCAGCAACTGTGAGAGGGATCTTGGAGACTTAGAGGACAACCAGCTAAATATGAGCCAGCTGTGTGTAGCAGCAGCAGCCAAAAAAGCTAATGCAATTCTAAGTTGCATTAACAGAGAGATACAATCGAGATCAAGTGAGATATTAATACCACTCTATAAAGCCTTAGTAAGACCACACCTAGAGTACTGCATCCAGTTTTACTCACCACGTTATAAAAAGACGCTAGAAAAAGTACAGAGAAGAACAACCAGGATGATTAGGGGACTGGAGACTAAGGCATATGAAGAACGGTTACAGGAACTGGACATGGCTAGTCTAGTGAAGAGAAGGAGCAGGGGAGACATGATAGCAGTCTTCCAATATTTGAGGGGCTGCCACAGAGAGGAAGGGGTCAAGCTATTTTTTAAAGCACCCGAAAGCCAAACAAAGAATAATGGATGGAAACTGAACAAGGAGAGTTTAACCTGGAGATAAGGAGAAACTTTCTGACAGTGAGAACAATCAACCCATGGAACAGAAGTTGCCCTTGGAAGTTGTGGGAGCGCCATCACTTGAGACCTTCAAGAAGAGATTGGACTGCCATTTGTCAGAAATGATGTAGGTTCTCCTGCTTGGGCAGGGGGTTGGACTAGATGACCTATAAGGTCCCTTCCTATCTGTTATCTGTTATCTGTCTATTAAATTTAGAGAGAATCCCTTTCTCATCCCCATTCTTAAAACAGCTCAAGTGACTGATTTAAAGTGGGGGAAGTTGGGATTTGAAGCTAGTCTTTGTTAGAGGAGAACCAAGTAGTTTCTTTTCCTCCTCTCCCCCCCAACAATAATATTTATTTTTTTCAGAAAGCAATATGCCAATGTACAAATATACTTTTTTTAAAAAAAACCGGAGCCTCTGTACTGTAGTGATAGATGTAGAGTCTTATCAGTTGTGTTTGGATTGTGTTTCTTCCTCATCATCCGATTTAGGTAACTTCCCTGTTATTATTACTCTGGCTAGGGAATGGTATTAGTGTAATTTTTTTGTTTTGTTTTGTTTTGTAGGACTTAGCAGTAAACTTTAGATAGAAATAGGAAGGGCTGGGCTGCTGGGGGGTTCGCAGGGGTTCAAGAGAGCCCCTAGCTAAGATTCTGGGCAGTTTGGAGAACCTCCAAATCCCACGTTTGGCTGGACCTGCCCACTCTGCTCCGCCCCTCCCAAGAGTCCCCACCTGGCCCATTTTGGATTCAGGTAAATGCAGGGGGCGCACGGAGGCTCGGGGAGGGTGAAAAATGGGCCTCCCAGAAGTTCAGGAAGGCCGGAAATCAGTCCGTTTCCAGCTTCCAAAGAGCCTCCAGAGCCCGGGGAGGCCATTTTCGCTCTCTCAGAGACTCGAGGAAAGCCTCCGGAGCCCGGGAAGGGCAAAAATGCCCCACCACCACCACCATGGTGCAAGAGGCCAACTAGGCCACGCCCCCCCCACCAGCAACCAAGCAGAGAACCCATTGCTAAAAAGTTTGAAGCCCACCCCTGGAAATATGTTATACTGGATTGATGGCAGGATTGGCTATTTATTTTATTGTCATTGTACCTCGTACAAGGAAATCAAACACCATCTTTAGTGCACATCATGACCATGAAAATAAACACAAACACACACATCCTTCACCCTCCACACATTGAACCGAAAATCCCCGACACCGTACCAACAGTGCACTCTACAGCAGAATTCAAAAGAGCGACTGACCTGGGATAGAAGCTGTTTTTCAGGCTATTTGTCCTTGTTTTTATTATTCTGTACTGATGGTAATAGTTCAAAAAAAGGGGGGGTTGAGTTTATTTGAGTTTATGTGTGATTGCCTTGGACTGGACAACTGTGTGGGAAAGTGTCACATCATCCATACAATATAAATAATCATTTTCTCACACACGTTCAGTTGATTGTTCCTGCTTAGATGCAAACCTTGTTTAAAATGAAGCCACCCTTCAGGCTTTGCCACTTACATTTTTGGAAGCCAGGAACTCCATTCCCCGAGCTACCTGGTAGGTGAAGCTCAGCAGATCCAGCAAACTGAGGCCTTCTGAATTGTCGTCAGACAGCAGATTCTTCCCGTCTAGTTTCATCGAGAGGAGGAAAAAGTGAAAAGAAATGTTTTTCGTTTTGTTCAATGTTAACTCCAGATGAATTAATCCATCAATCTCTTTCAGGCAGAAAGTTTGTAGAGATTCGCAGTCATCCAAGTCATGGTTGTCTCAAAGGTGTTTTTTTCAGGAGGCAAATGGACTTTCCTGTTTTTTTTCTTTCTAAGAAGTTTGTCTATCTTTCACACCGATAAATCTCCAAGTGGCCTCAACGACCGTCTAAAAGGATGCAAATGACCAGCTGTCTGCAAGGAATATAAATCCTTCCATTTTCCACTATCCTGTCAGAGCTGAAGAAGCTTTTTGGATGCAAAATGTCTTCGAAAGAAAAAAAATAAACAAGAAAGCCCAGTTTGCCTCCTGAAAAAGCTTTGGGACAACCATGATCTGAATGAGTGAGAATCTCTACAGATTTTTAGCTTTACAATTTGGAATGAATGCCCATGGAACGGTGTAGGAGTAGGAATGGATTTCCAGAGGAAAAATTGCAGACTAGAGGAACCATTAGCATCACTCAGGTAACCCTGAAGACACGGATAAACCTTCAAGTGCTTCAATGACTCTCTAAAACAGGGGTCTTCAAACTAGACAGCTTTAAGACTTGTGGACTTCAACTTCCAGAATTCCTCCTCCAGTCACGTTAGCTCAGGAATTCTGGGAGTTGAAGTCCACACCTCTTAAACTTGCCAAGTTGGAAGACCCTTACTCTAAAAGGATGCAAATTACCAGCTGTCTGCACGGAATATAAATCCTTTCCTGCATAAAATTCTTATTCAAGGGCTAAATATTTATCATAGTTATTTCTTTAGATCGTCGTTTCCCTTTACCAAATCCAGCAACTTTCCCTCTGTTGTTCCACAACATGGAACTGAGAACTATATCTCCAAAACATTTCAACAAAACAAGCTACGTTTGTATCCATCAATAATAGAGAAGCTTTCTTTTTTTAAAAAAAAAATCTAAATACTAAATATAGTTTTATTTTTCCTTTAATTATAGACATTTTCTCCCTAGAAATTGCAGGATTAAAGGAGTACCACCTACACATTACAGGGTTTGTTGTTACTATATTCCCGTGTGGTTTAAATCCAAAGCCATCATTTAGAAATGGCGTGGAGTCATCCATTTGTTTTTGACATAAATCCATTTTCGCTTAGCTTTGCTAGGCTGGCTCGTGCTCTTTGGTAGTTGGGGTTACCCAAGACTTTCAAAGGATCGATGATTTTACAGCATGGCTCTTATTATGCTCAGAAAAATGACAGCTGCAAAAGGCCTAAAATATAATTATTTGGCTACTTGGTTGGTCATTAAAGCCTTGGTGGATGAGCCTCTGCCAATGCAGCTGGGTCTGAAAGAGAATGCAGTTCAAGAATCAGGACAGAGCAAATCTGTCCTGTAAATCATGGATCAGATTTCAGCGTAATCGGATGGTAAAAAGGGATGAGTTGGTCAAACAGCCCGTGACTAACCATCAATTTGGCATTCTGCAAATTTATTTCTGTTTAAAGTCAGTTAGCTTTTATGGATGAATCCTAATCTAAGGAGAAGCACAAACAAGTGGCTCAAAATCCAGCTAAATACAAACAGAAGAACAAAAGCATTTTGTTATTAGGAGCCTCTGTGGCACAATGGTTAGAGTGCAGTATTGCAAGCTACTTCTGCGGCCAGCTGCCTACAATTTGGCAGTTCAAATCCCACCAGACTCAAGGTTGACTCAGCCTTCCATCCTTCCGAGGTGGGTAAAATGAGGACCCAGATTGTTGGGGGCAATATGCTGACTCTATAAACTGCTTAGAGAGGGCTGTAAAGTATTATAAAGTGGTATATAAGTCTAAGTGCTATTGCTATTTGTGCCACCAATGACACTGGCTCTCATTAAACCTTGATCAGTTTTGGAGATAGAGGTAAATGGTAGCATTATGTGCCAGGTAAGAAGAGGATAAAGAAAAAATAGGAAATCTTTGACTCTAGAGGTCCTCCTGAATAACTATCTCATTTTGAATTATAAATAGTAACTTATGTTTTCACAACAAACTTAAGTAATCAACTGAATTATAGTTGATTAAGAAACAATATAATTGTCGTTGGCAGAAAGAAAAACCTCACTGGTATATTTTTTGCCTGTCCCCTGAAGTAGGAAATGTTAACACCTAATATGATTCTGCCTTTTGTTATATTCTTCAAGACACAAAAACTTTCTGATATTCTCAATATTTGGGAAGCTTATGAACCAACTGCTATGTAGCGTAGGATACTCCAATTGCTTTAACAGCTTTATTTTCCATTCTTCCTAGTGCACAAAACATCTACTAGTGTGCAACAACGCTGCAACTTTTGTTTTGAGCTATGTTAATGCTATTTGGATTTCTTATTATGCCAAAATGTTGCTTTAAGTAAAGGCTCCCTTGAATTGAGCTTCATTATGGGCGACTCTATGGAGGCATCTATGTTGCTTTTCTGGAAGCAGTATGGAAATTAGAGTAGAGTAGAGTAGAGTAGAGTAGAGTAGAGTAGAGTAGAGTAGAACAGAACAGAACAGAACAGAACAGAACAGAACAGAACAGAATCAGCTGGAAGGGACATTGACGGTTTTCTAGTTCAGCCGCTGCTCAAGCAGGAGAACCTATACAATCTCAGACAAGTGACTGTCCATACTATTCTTAAAAACATCCAGTGGTGGAGTGCCCACTATTTCTGGAGGCAAGTTGTTCCACTGATTAATTGTCCTTACTGTTAGGAAGTTTCTCCTTAATTCCAGATTGCTTCTCTCTTTTGATTAGTTTCCAACTATTGGAAATTAATCGCAATGTATTTTGCCACTGCTTTCTTCCATGATGTCTTTTTGACTTCTCAGACTAATCTATGCTCTGGAATTTCTCATCTCACTTCTAACCAGATCCAGATGCTTACTTTTAGAGAGTCACTTTAAATTACTTAGAAGCTGTCATCTGTGGCAGCAGAGATGATTTTACAGGAAGAATAAATACATTATGTTCTTTATGAAACAGTTATAATTCAGATTATAATCAATGAGATGCTGCTGTATACTTTCAGACTTTATATGACCTCTAAAACCAAGCTGAAATAATTGATATTTTAAGAAAATAGAACGCCAAAATGGCCATAAGAATTCACTCTTAGCTATCCTTCTACACGTATAGATAGCTGAACACAGAAAGAGACTGTTGCAATCAAGCATGAAACCCCCCCCCCCCCCCAAATCTGGAGACTTCCAGTTTGAGCTTCTTCGGCGACAGACTGAAACCTTGTCTCTGCGAGGCTTTGATCCCTGCTCGCCGCTGGAGAGCCCCGAGCCGGCTGGTTTCGGGGCTAAGCCACCCCGTAGAGGTGGTGAAGAAGGGGGAGACTGCTTGCAGGGTCGAGGAGAGCCGCATCTCTCCTCCCCAGCTGGCCATTACTCCCTTTCCCGAAGGCGATTGTAGTGGTGGTCAGAAATGGCCACCACAAAGAAGAACTCAACCAGAAAAGAATGTGCAGGAGGAAGATAAGAAGAGAAAGTTTTGGTTGACCAGGTCAAACAGCAAAAGCAACAAATAAGGTACCCTGGAATTGAAACTATTAAAAAAAAAACAATAACATTGTTCCCTAAGAAGATTTCTAAACTGCGAAGGAGAGAGAAAAGGGAAAGGATTTGGTTTTTTTTCTCCTCTTCCTATATTGACAGCTAAGAGGCTTAAGCAAGAAATTGGAAAAAAAAATCCACTTTGACATTAATAGGCATTTAATGCTGAAAATAAAAAGTCAAAGGGATAATAAAGATTTCTGGATAATCAAAAGCTTTTGAAAACAGGAAAGGAGAGAAAAAGAATAAAAGGGCAGGATCTGGAAGGGAGGAGACTGCCTGGAATTAAAAAGAACTTACAGCAAAATCTCGACAAGACTTCCAAAAGATACATTCTAACTGAAATATTGCAACAAAAACCCTAGGAAGAGAAAGTCGAAAAAGAAATAAGAAAATATAACTCGGGACTATCTGGATTACTTGATGATTTCTGGATTCTTGGTTATTGTTTTGAATGACTAAAATCAATCAGGTGGTTGTTTAAAACTGTTTAAAATGGCTCCACTTTTAGAAGAACTGAAAATGGAACTTAAAAAGTACAAAGAAGATGCACAAGAAGGGAGAGGTTCTTTTGGCTTCGTATTTCAGTTTTTAGAAATGGAGATTTGGAACTATGAGAAACAACAAGAAATGCCTGTAGAACAGGAAGATTGCAACAAAGAAGAAGCCATCTTTAATGAACAAGTAATCTTAGATGGGGAGGGGAAGGAAAGAGAGGAAAGAGAATGGAAAGTTTAAGATTGGGAAAAACAACTCCAAAAAAAAATAGAGTGAAAAATGTTGTGACTGAAAGGATCGATCCTGCTGTGAGTTTTGATTCTGATGACTCTGAGGATGAAAGGCTGGAGCCTGCTGAGAATTTGGAGTCTGAATTGTTAGAAGACACAGATGTGAGCCAGGGGGATGAGAGGTTATCACACAGACATTCTTCACCTGAACCCTCGACCTCATTCATGCCTGCAATTGAGCCACAAAATGAGTCAGAAGAGTCGAGCAAAGAAGCTGACAGATCGTGGCTTGATGCCAGAACAAGAAGGAGGCTGAAACGTCAAGCTGTGGGGAGACATCAGGCCAGACGTTGATTTAGGGAGATTGACACGCCCATCTAGGTGGTTTACGGAGGCAAGCTCAGTTAGAAGGGAGGGCGAGTCAGTAATTAGCATGTTGCCTCAAAGTGTATAAAAGAACACAGCTGTGTGGGGGAAGATTGTCAGGAACAAAGTGACTGATTACGTGCAGAGGTTTTCAGCAGAGGCTCAGGAGCTTTGAGAATTTGTGCCAGGACTGTTTTGATAAACAGGGCGTGTGGAATATAATCTTGTAGAACTCCTTTCTGTTGGATTTAAGTTTTGGAACGGCTGCTTTTGGTTTTGTGTTGTTTGAACTCTGAAGGGGGAGCCATAACAGAAAAATAAGTATAAAATCAGAAAGCAACAGAAGAGGGAAATGCAGAAGAGAGAATTAGAAGTAGAGAGACAAGGGGGTAAAAGGGGGAGGGAGAAGATGAGAGGGAAGAAAGAAAGGAAGTTATAAAGGACAGAAACAAAATATAGAGAAACAGGGCCTATTTAGAGATAATGGGTGGAAATTTAATGGGAAAAGGGATTCTGCAAAGGTACATAAGATAGTATGGTTATATTAGAAATAGAAATAACTTTTAAAAATATGAAACAATGTATGATTAAAATGTTTGATAAAATAGCTATCGTAATTGAGTGGAATGCTTGTCAATAAATAATTGTAACAAAATGAATATTTAATGATTTACAAAACATATGTGAAGAGAAATAAGGGAAAATTAATTATGGAGATTATATGTGTCTTTAAGGAAGTATGATATTTAATTGAAAAGAAGTGTTAAAGATGTTAAGATTTTAATGATTATTAATGATAAAACTGAATTGGAATGGAATGAGGGTTCATAATTACATATATTTATAATCTTTTTTTTAAAAAAAGAATATAGTGTGTATTATGTACCAAGCAGAATTCGATTGGAAGTTATGTATTATGTATTATATTGAAGGTCATAACCTTAAGATATATATTGAAGTTTAAATAAGAGTTGAATGGATGTAATTAAAAGATATAAAGGTGTCATACTCCAATTAGTAACTACAGGAGAAAATTTGTTTAATGAGAAAAGATAATATGAAATTGAAACAGAACAGACAAAAGTATAAATATAATGATTTGAATTGAGATGAGATAATCAAAATAAAATTGAGAAAATTAAAAGAGGGAAAAAACTATATAGAAAATGTAGAATAGTATAAGACATGGAACAGAACACAAAAAGGAGCATGAAATTGAGTTTTGTGTCTGTATAAAGAAGTTCAACCCGGGACCATGCTATTTTAAAAAATGATGTTTTACTTGTATTTTGTATGTGTGAAAACCCAAATAAAACTTTATTAAAAAAGAAAAAAGAAAAACCCCAAAAAACTAATAGCAATCACTTCTGCATGAGCTCAAGCATAAAAGAACTAAATGGTGCAGCTATTAGGGACAATATAAGACCAAATATCCCACAATACCATAAAAAACCATAAAATCTGTGGAACAGAGGCAGGGGTGGGATTCAATTTTTTTAACAACCAGTTCTGTGGGTGTGGCTTAGATGGTGCGCATGGCTTGGTGGTCATGAGACTGGGTGGACATGGATTGGTGGTAATGTGACTGGCTGGGCATGGCCAACTCAACATCACTCATATTGAGGCACGCATCTCCTCGACTGGCCTCTCGTGACTGTGGGATTCTGCAACAGTCGTAAGTGTGAAAAAGGGTCATAAGTCACTTTTTTCAGTGCCATTGTAACTTTAAATGGTCACTCCACACAAGCAAACTACCAGCAAAGGAGGGAAAATAAACTCCAGAGAAGTTCCTGAGACAGGAAGTCTAGTCCTGCCAAGAATGTCATAAGGGTTAACGGAGAGGCAGTTTCTGTAAGCAACACCAGAATGTTTCCTTCCTGACTTTCTTACAGGATTAGTCCAGTAATTTCTTCTAACAACCGGTTCACCGAACTGCTTAGAATGTTAACAACCGGTTCTAGCGAACAGGTGCAAACTGGTAGAATCCCACCCCTGAACAGAGGTGAAATGACCAGCGCCATGCCACAAAATCCTTAACTTTTTCTCCTACAAGATTAGCAGCAACTTCAAATTATTTTGTTCAGGAAAAAAAACAGTGCAAGGAGAAAACTTAACCCTAATCTAATCTGATTCTTTGCAGAATAAAAATACTTGGTTATATATAGTATGCCATGACATATAAGTGGACTTACCTAATATGGATTTTTTCTTATATGAAGCAGGCCGATCGTACAAAGATCTTTGGATGTCAGAATATTTAGACCTGTCTTTTCTTTCTAACATGGGCACGTACTGAGTTGCCTCTGCTTGTTTCATATCCATATATTCACCATTATTTTCAAAGGATAGGATGACATAGCTGGAATTAAAAGCACAGTAGCAATATAAAGAAATAGTGCACAAATTGAGATCTGAATATTTACTGTACTTGTTATACTTATATACTTATAAGAAAAATATATACATATTATAGCTGTGGTGGCACAGTGGTTAGAATGCAGTATTGCAGGCTAATTCTACCAACTGCCAGCAGTTTGACTGTGATTGGCTCAAGGTTGGCTCACCCTTCTATCCTTCTGATTAGGTAAAATGAGGACCCAGATTGTTGGGATCAAGAGGCTGACTCTGTAAACCACTTAGAGAGGGCTGTAAAGCACTGTGAAGCATATATAAGTCTAAGTGCTATTGCTATACTGATCTTTTATTTGTTGATTATGGAACAGAAGTTGGATATTGTAGATGTCACAATAAAATTTCAGCAATCTGTAGGCCATTCCCAAAATTACTCGTCAATGATTGTCTTGATTCATTGATTCTTTCAAATCTTAATCAATAAATCTACACTGCATTCCTTCATCCCATTAGAAACTTTTTTAACAACAACAACAACAACAACAACTGAAAGAAACACCATAAAGTTTCCACAATATTATTCATTACATGGAGCTGTATGTTTCCCCAGAAGGGGGCGATACCTTGGAAGTTAGTTGTAGCAACATACAATGCAGTGGTAAGGGTGGCTTGGTTAACACTCTATGAGCCTTCCCACCAAGTGAAGCAATGGAGCTCACCATACCACATTCCCGTTAGGATATAACTGGTTATCATGCTCCTGTCGGAATCTGATTCTGAGGGGGAGGCCAAGCAGCTGACAGGGAGTGGGAATGTGACTCTCTTTGCTGTGGACGAAACTGGGGAAGGGCACAGTCCAACTGGGCAGAGCAGGGAAGAGGTAGAGCAAGAGAGAGGGAATTCAGAGAAAGATCCAGGCTCATCCCCTCTTCATCCTAGGGTATGCAGGGAGGAATGGAGAAGGGAGCAATGTGAGTTGCGTGGCTTATAGGGGAGGAAAGGGCCCTGATTCCCTTCATTATATTAAATATTTTCATTGTGGCTTAGAAGTATAATGAAGGATTCATGATGAACCTGTTGTATAGATGCAGTGGTGCGTTTCAATTTTTTTTACCAAAGGTTCGGTGGGTGTGGCTTGGTGAACACGCTTTGTGCACACACACACATTTCGCACATACGCGCATACCAAATGCACACTTTGCGCAGGCGCAGAAGCGTTCCAACTCACCTCCTGCCCTCTCCCTGTCGCTTCAGTAGCTGCCGCGCAACAATCTGCTTGCCGCACAAAGCAGCTGCGCTTCAAAAGCAGGACATAAAGGTGAGTATGGGAGCCCAGGCAGGCAGGTGAGCCCAATAGCAGAGCAGTGGAGAGAACCGGTTTGGTCTCCGTTGCTCATCATCACTACCGGCTTGGCAGAACCAGTACAATACCACCACTGCATAGATGGATCTGGAATAGTTTCCACAGCCTAATTTCTCTCGTATCTCAATAAAAAGGTAAAGGTTTCCCTGTTCAATCATGTCCAACTCTAAGGTTTCTTGGCTGAGGGAGCCAGGATTGTCCAAAGACAATATCCATAGTCATATGACCATCATGGAAGTGGTGGTATTCTACCAGCTTGGCCCCATTCTGCTGAGCCACTAGTGGGATGAGCAAACTGGTTCTCGCCACTGCTCTGCTGTTGGTCCCACCTGCCAGCCCGGGCTCCCATATTCACCTTTATCTTCTGCTTTTGAAGTGCAACTGCAGCTGCTCGCGGCAGCTGCTGAAGTGACCAGGAGAGTGCCGGCTTGCAGAAAGCGAGTTGGAACACCTCTGCGCCTGTGCAAAGTGCATGTTCGGTGTGCATGCGTATGCACGCAAAGTGTCTGCATACACACAAAGCATGCCCACCAAGCCACACCCACCAAACCGGTGGTAAAAGTTTCTGAATCCCACCACTGCATCATGGCTATATGCCAAAGGCGCACAGAACAAATTAATATTGTCCCTTTGGTTACTTTATAGCTAAAGCTCACCTTCTAGTGCTCTCATCTGCAGAGTTTATGCCAAAGATGTCCAGGTCCATTTTTGTTTTTTCGGGATGTCGACTCAGAAAGTTATCCCTATTTTTGTGGAGGTAGTTCACCAAATCTCCATAAAAACAATATTCTGTTATGATGTATATTGGACCTAATGAAGAAGAACAAAGCAGAACAATATTTAACGCCTCGAGGAAGTCATGTCTGGAAACTAATTGAAGATCACTGCGCACCCAAAAACAGTGATGCTTTCTCAGTGTCCAAACTTCAAGAAGCTCTTTGAATTCTTCTCCCGTCACAAAAGCAAATCAAACAAAAGTGATCTCCCAGAAATAAAATCCGCCTTTTGAGACATACTCAGTGGTCATCAGACAACTTTCTACACCGAATTATACACATAAACCTCACATCCTTAAAGGTTGTCAGAAACCTGAAGGTCAAGAACTATGGATGATGACTAGCCATGTTCACAACAAACCTTCTGTACTCGAAAGTCCCTTGTAGCTTCTTTCTATGGCTAAAGAAGCTGTGTTTGGTTTGGTAGGTCTTAAATTATGCAATCCTGATTGACAATAATTATAGAATAATTATGATTTAATGCTACCTCCTGAACTTGGTGCCTTCCAGCTGTGTTTGCCAGTGGAGGGAGTCAAAAAAATTTACCAGCAGTTCTGTGGGTGTGGCTTGGTGGGTGTGGCAGGGAAAGGATACTGTAAAATCTCCATTCCTTCTCCACTCCTGGGGGAAGGATACTGCAAAATCCCCTTCCCTCCCCACACCACTAACCTGCTTTCCAGCTCCATTCTCCTGTGCAGGGCAACCAAAGAAGACCCAGCCGATCAGCTGAGACTCAGGAGGCAGAGAATAGATGGGGTTGGCGGGGCCAGTCAGAGGTGGTATTTGCTGGTTCTCCGAACTACTCAAAATTTCCGCTACTGGTCTTCCAGAACCGGTCAGAACCTGCTGAATACCACCTCTGGTGCTTGCCATGCTGGCTGGTATTTCATGGAATTGTAATTTGAGCACATCTGGAGTTGTAGCACCAACAGCTCTTAAATAACGTTGTGTTGGGGAGACTTGTATAACAAATTGCAGCAAGTATCAAATAGAATGGCCAGCATTGGATCTGTTAACTTACGGCCTACTCTTCTAAATACTAGCTCAATGAGAGCCACCGGGCCTGATGCTTCGAGGCATTTCTTTTTCCAACAGAAAGATAGCGAAATTTACCTGATTTTGTACAAGCTCCTAAGAGGTTGACAATGTTCAAGTGTGGGCCAAGATGAGTCATTATCTTCAATTCAGACATGAGTGCCTGTTTTTCGCTGGATCTTGCAGTTGCTGGTGGGAAAATGTGGTGCACAGAGAATTAAGAGTGTTTTTCTAGAAATACAGAAGTAAGCAATCATGGTCACTGTTTCTTTTCCTTTTCTTTTTCTTTGTACATGTTTTCTTTGCAGTTTTTCCTTCAACAACCAACATTTTTTGTGGACAGTGTAATGACTCGGTTAACATATTTTTCACAAGGTGCTCACAGTAATAATACAATTTCATAGAAAATTCTTATCTTCCAACTTCTGACCTTAAATGTGCTCATTATAATTATAATATATTCTTTCATATATCAATATATATTTTACTATTTTCCCCAATTTATACTTATTTTTTTTTATTTTTCCTATTTGTTGGGTTTTTTTCTATATTTACCTCATTATCTTTAAACAATACTATTCTCTCTTTATGGTTTTTTTAATCACTTCTTCCAAAAATATACATAAACATCAATAACATACAGTATACTTATTAACCTCTATTAAGTCACTAATATTTTAATAATTATAAGTATCCCTCAGTATTCCACCACATTTTCAATATCTCAATTTTCTAGGTCACTGTTTCTTTATGAGTAGGAATCTTCTGGGGAAAAATAATTTTCAAAAGAAGATCTGCTAAGGAAAGCAAACTCCTTTTGTTGTGAATCAATAAAAAGTAACTAAGCCAAATGCAAAACGGGTTTTGAAAGCCTGCACACCTGATTGGTCCTTAAACAACAAACAAGGATTGGTCCATAACAAGTCCCTGATTGGCCAATATTAGGGCACTTCTTATTGGGTATTAGTTGAACTTGTTGCACATATTATTGGTTAATAGGGTAGCAGCCAACCCTATAAAAGGGTTACTGCTGCCCATAGCCTTGCTCTGTTCTGTTCTATCTACTGTTATTAAAGAGTTGAAGTCACTGGTCAGATGTCTGGTCTCCATTATTCTCCAAACTTAACACCTTTCATTTTATTTGCTGATCCCTTAACTTGTTTAATAAATATAGCAGCAATATCTTCGTACAGTGGACTTTTGTCTGAATTCTTCCCAATATAGATTGCTTTCTGAATCAGACCGTGGCCACTTCAAAATTATTATTTTTACACCATGTTGGTATCAGATCCAGACTGGATTGTCTCATCCTATCATTTGTTTGGAGGAAATGAATTGATTTACTGTGAATCCCAACAAAATCAGTATTTTTCTTTGAATTGCTACAATTCAGTGGTACTGGTAGGTAGTAATTTTGGGTGGTCTGCTTCCCACTGGCAGAAATGTACAAGACAGCTAATGTTAGCTAATACACCCCACTATTCCACAGGCTCAGTATCCTGTTTCTATCTTCCTCTTTTTTTAAAATTCTCTTCAGAACAGAGGAATGGTGGCATAGCAATCATTTGGGTGGTTTCTTGCAAATCGTCAAACAAATGTACATGCACAGATACAGACACACAAGACACACATCAGTGGTGGGTTTCCAATTTTTTTTCCTACTAGTTCTAAGAGTGTGCTTTGCATACACGTGCGTGCAGGGTTCAAAGACTGCCCTCTGTATTAATGCTGGTGAGCTGTGCTGGTTTTTAGCTCAGCTGAGGGTGGCAAGATCAGCTGAGCTTAAAAAAACAAGGGAGTATAGGAGAGGTAACAGCGGGGGGCAGGTGGGTGGAGCCAACCAAAGGTGGTATTTCCCAGTTCTCCGAACTACTAAAAATGTCCGCTACTGGTAGGCCAGAACCGGTCTGAACCAGCTGAATACCACCTTTGGACAGGAGTGGGATTCAAAAATCCCAGCAAACTGGTTCACTGCCCGGTTGCTGGGTCGGCAGGGCCATGGTGGGTGCGGTATACTGGAACGTCCTGTTTCTGGCTTCCAGTGGGCCTCCAGAGCCAGGAGAGGCCATTTTTGCCCTCCTAAGAGTCCAGAAGCCTCCCCTGGGCCACTGGGAGGACAAAAACAGCCTCCCCTGGTCTCTGGAGGCCCTCTGGAAGCCAGAAGCAGGCCCGTATCCAGACTTCCAGAAGGCCTGTTTTCCCCCCTCCCAGAACCTCCGCACGGATCCTGCAGTTACCTCCATTGAAAATGGGCCGCTTGGACACTCCTGGGAGGGCAGGGCCAGCCAGTCAGTTGAAATACCAGTTCGGCAAACCAGTTGTAACTTTAACAACCGGTTCATCCGAACCAGTCCAAACCGGTAGAATCCCACCCCTGCTTCTAACACACATACCAGAAAGCACAGAGAAAGGCACAAACATTTTTTTTTCTTCTCTTGGGAGTTGCAAAGCATTTTTTTTCCCTCTGTATTTTGAGATGGGTAGAACCGAAGGCGATTCATGTGTCAGATTCAAATTACTTTTGGAAGAAGCATGCTGCTGGTATATAAGTATCCTGTGCTAATATTCACTGCTTATGCTTTATTTTAGTTGATATAGTATTAATAAATTATAGGTTGGAGTTCTTGAGGACCCATCTAGTTTGGATTAATGGTCACCAAACGTGATAGCAAAATAGTGCAGTAGTCCTCAACTTATAGCCATTCACTTAGTGGCCTTTTACAACGACTGCATGATTCACTTAAGAACTGCAGTAATTTACAGATTACAGATTGACAGAGTTGGAAGGGACCTTGTAGATCATCTAGCCCAACCCCCCGCCCAAGCAAGAGACCCTCATCATATCTGACAGATGGCAGTCCAGTCTCTTCTTGAAAGTCTCAAGTGATGGCACTCCCACAACTTCCGAAGGCAACTTCTGTTCCTTTGGTTGATTGTTCTCACTGTTCTCAGAAAATTTCTCCTTATTTCCAGGTTGAATCTCTCCTTGATCAGTTTCCATCCATTGTTCCTTGTCTGGCCTTCAGATGCTTTGGAAAATAGCTTGACCCCCTTCCTCTCTGTGGCAGCCCCTCAGATATTGGAAGACTGCTATCCTGTCTCCCCTGGTCCTTCTCTTTACTAGACTGGCCATGCCCAGTTCCTGTTACCGTTCTTCATATGTTTTAGTCTCTAGTCCCCTACATTACTTAACAAATGTGGTCGAAAAAGGTCATAAAGTTGGGTGTAACTCAGTAAACAACTGCCTTGCTTAGAAAGACTGGTTCCCAATTGTCATTGTAAGTCAGGGCTTTCCCACATATAACTAGATTTTCTCTATTCTACCACTATGAGCAAAAGCTGGCGATTTTATTCAATCAGTCACTTTAAATATTAATTTTGTAGGAAATACCTTGAATCATCCATTTTTTTCAAGCTCAAATGCTAAGATGATGACATTAACAAGATTTATCATCTTTTAATGATCCCATAATCCCTTTGCGGGGTGGAGTCTGGGCAACTGAATGGAGCTAGAAGAGTATTTGACTGGCCGGATGCCCTTCCTGTCACCAATGCAGAGTTTTGTTCAGCAGATCATGCAGTATATTCGTTGTAAATGGAAAACATGCTTACGTTTCAACATTTTCACAGCTACTTTCATCACTGGCTGCGATCGGCTTAATCCGTAGGCTGTTCCTTCGACTACTTTCCCAAAAGCTCCCGAACCAAGGATTCGACCTAGAGAATAATACAGTTACTGAGAATAAACTTTGGATTCACCCGTTCAAAGTTACAACGGCACTGAAAAAAAGCGACTTGTGCCCGATTTTCAGGGTTACAATCTTTGCAGCCTCCCTATGGTCACGTGAACAAAATACAGATGCTTGGCAACTGGTTCACACTTATGACCGTTTGCTATGCCCCAGGGATCAGGAGGTTATTTTTTGCGACCTTCTGGCCATCAAGGTCAACGAGGAAGCCAGCTTTGCTTAACAAGCTGCTTACTAACTGCAGTGATTCACTTCACATTCGTGGCAAGAAAAGTCGTAAAATGGGGCAAAACTCACTTAGCAAATGTTTCACTTAGCAACATAATAGTTGGGCTCAACTGAGCGGGTTCAGAGGCATTTCTCAAGAAGAGTATTCCATTCCTCCACTCACAATAGAATTCCCGATGCTTCCGGGGCTCACAATTTTGGGCCTGGACAATCTGGAACTGTGCCGCCCACGGTCCGATCTAAGCATAGTTCACACAATTGCCTGCTACAATGTCTTACCTGTCAACGACTTTTTCAGCTTCAACCACAATAACACACGGGCAAACAATAGATACAAACTCAAGGTAAACCGCTCCAAACTCGATAGCAGGAAATACGACTTCAGCAAGAGTGGTCAAGACCTGGAATGCCCTACCCGACTCCGTTGTTACAGCCTCAACCCCTCACAGCTTCAACCTAAAACTGTCTACTGTGGACCTCACCCCATTCTTAGGATGTCCTTAAAGGGGGCGTCCATAAGCACACCAGCATGCCTACTATCCCTGTCTTATTGTCCCCGTTTATCTGTATTTATTTCCTTTGTTCTTGTTTATGTTCATACTTATACTTGTTATCTTGTACATGTTTGACAAACAAACAAACAAATAAATAAAATAAATTGTGGTCATAACTCAAGGACTACCAGTATTGGCTACTCCTGCCACCTTGGTGTCAAAACCATTTCTGGTATATAATTAATGGGAATAATACCTCTTGAGGTTTCCTATGAAAAACCCGAGACTCTTTTCATAAGCCTTTGTGTGATCCTTACCTAGCACTAGTCCATCTCTAGGGAATTCCCATCTCGAATCGTAGGGCAATTGCATAGGGTCCACATAGATGTACTCATGGCCATCAGGGCTGATAGACTCAATAACTCTCCATCTGATCTCATATCTGGGTTTCTGTGCAAAAAAGAAGACATGGAAGATCAGCTTCATCCCAACGCAGTAAATCGTCTAACATCAAAAACGCCATCAAAAAAGCACAACAAAGAATGTTCTTTCTGTGCCATCTCAGGAAGCTCAAACTGCCCAAAGAGCTGCTGATATTGTTCTACAAAGGAATGATTGAGTCTGTCATCTGCACCTCAATAACCGTCTGGTTTGGCTCTGCAACCCAACAAGACAGACACAGACTTCAGAGAGTAATTAGGACTGCAGAAAAAACAATTACTATCAACCTGCCTTCAATCAAGGACCTGTATACTGCACGAGTCAAAAAGAGGGCTGTGAAAATATCTACAGACCCCTCACATCCTGGACACAAACGGTTTCAACTTCTACCCTCAAAACAACACTACAGAGCACTGCACACCAGAACAACTAGACACAAGGACAGTTTTTTCTAGTCATCACTCTGCTAAACAAATAATTCCCTCAACACTGTCAAACTATTTACTAAGGCTGTATTACTATTCTTCTTCTCATCCTTCCTAGTATCTATCTCTTCCCACTTATAATTATAACTGTGTTGCTTGTATCTTTACAATTCATATTGTTTTATTTGTTTCCCAGTATGATTTGGTTGCTTATTTAGTAACCTATGACTATCACTAACTGTTGTATCTTATGATTCTTGATGAATGTATTTTTTATGTACATTGAGAGCTTATGCATTGAAGACAAATTCCTTGTGTGTCCAATCACACTTGGCCAATAAAGAATTCTATTCTATTCTATTCTATTCTATTCTATTCTACTCTACTCTACTCTACTCTACTCTACTCTACTCTACTCTACTCTACTCCACTCCACTCCACTCCACTCCACTCCACTCCACTCCACTCCACTCCACTCCACTCCACTCCATCCACTTCTATTCTATCATGCAAAAAAAAATCTGGCTCTTCACCCACGTCTTTGATGAGAGAGAGAGAGGGAGCCTCCTCATATCTCTAAATTTGCCATCTTTTATCTTAACCTTTTACCTATGGTTGATTTAATTGTAAATTTGTTGATTGTTGTGAGCCATCCAGGGTCATTGGGAATTGGGTGGGTATATCAATTTTGTAAATTATTGCTAATATTAAGTCCTTCTCCAGGGCTGTGTCAGAGGTGCTAACGAAGGTGGATAGACTGCTGGACAGACAGTTTTTAGAGACATCTGGAGAAATTGTCAGTTCATTTATGCTCTGCTCTTATGCAAAAGAGTCCAGCCCCATAGCAGCTGGGGACTCTACCTGTCTTTAATCTCTACATTATGGAATTGAGACTATTTGTGCCAGCAAATAAATCTCCCTTTGGAGAGCTGTTTTGAATGCAAAGGGGGAAAAAATGCATCGTGAGCCTGTGTCAAATGCCCACTGTGGCCACGCCAACCATCGGACATGCACCTCCCACCCACCTCCAGCCCTCCAAGGTCAAACACAACCCTGATGCCGCCTTCAATGAAATCAAGTTTGACACCCCTGGTTTAGAGGGTGGATTTCTCCTTACCTGTTTCCATATGATTACCAAGACAATCAGGGCAATTATTACAATCACAAGGAGGACGAGGACAGCAGCAGCCACAGTGAGTTCCGATCTTAACGCTGTAAGGAGAAGCACATAGGATTCTTTCATTCCCTTTTTAAAGCAAAATAATTTTTCGGTCCCACTTTCGGGTGCAGTACCACTGGTGTTCACATAGTGTGATGACCCAGGGCATGGCACGAAGGCAACACAGTCATATAAGCAATAAGAGTCCCTTTATTATCTCCAACTTTGCCCCCAATGTCCAGGTTACCTTCTGGCTGGAGAAAAACTCTCCCAGGAACAGCCTTTGGCTGCAGAGAATCAAGTCCAAAACATGGTCAACACAAACTGTAACTTAAAGTCCAAACAAGCCAAAATGAGGTAATTAGTTTGGCAGGGCAGGAGCAAGAATTTCAGACTTGAAGGTATGGCAAAACTCACACAGTTGGGAAGACACCAGGAACACAGATAAGCCATGACAATACAAGATAAAGTCACGTTTGCTCCCAGCAGCCTGCCACATGCAGTCTGCCTTTCTTATCAACTGTCTTCCTAGCTGTGGCTAATGAAGGGAATCAGGGCCCTTTCCTCCCTCCTAAGCCATGCAACCCACGTTGCTCTCTTCTCCGTTCTTCCCTGTGTGCCCTAGGATGAAGAGGGGGTGGGCCTGGTTCTTCCTCTGAACTCCCTCTCCCTTGTTCTACCTCTTCCCTGCTCTGCCCAGCCAGACTTTGCCCTTCCCCAGCCTCCTCCACAGCCAACGGAACCACACTCTCATTCCCTGTCAGCTATATGGCTTCCTCCTTGGATTCAGACTCTGACAGGGGCATGACACATAGGAGTTAGGCAAACCTAATGAAGTAAACCTGCAAAAGCTTGTGTAATCATCCTACAATAGAGATTGTATGCCAGCAAAAAAAAAAAAAAAAAATCCAAACTTTCCAAATTAAGCCCCTTAAAAATTCACTATATAGTTTCCTTCCCTTCCTCTGTCATCATTGTTTAAAAACAAAAACTAAGGAAATGTGTGGGAACAATCCAGATGCAATAACAGTGAAAACAAACCCCCTTTTGTCTAAGAGGTTTTATAAATTGTTCCTGTTCCTTTGACAGATACATTGCAAATAAAAAAAAATCCGCCACGTCTATGCAGGTAGTCCTCAACTTACAACAGTTCTTTTTGTGACCTTTCAAAGTTACAACAGCACTGAAAAAAGTTTTTTCACACTTATGATCATTACAAGTATCCCCACGGTCACGCGATTTACATTCGGATGCTTGATAACAGATTCATGTTTATGACTGTTACAGTTTTCCAGGGTCATTTAATCCGCTTTTGCGACCTTCTGACAAGCCAAGTCAATGGGGGAAGCCAAATTGGCTTAACAACCATGTTACTGATTGAACAACTGCAGTGATTCATTTAACAAATGATTCAAAGAAAGGTCATAAAATAGGGCAACACCCACTTAACCCATTTCTCACTTAGCATCATAAATTCTGGGCTCAATTGCTTAGTGTGCTATATTATAAAAGCTAGCCTACATTTACCTGTTTCAATGTATACTCATAAAATATTTCTCTGGTCTTTTAGAGTTGCCAACAGAAAGGGAGAGGGGAGCAGTGCAGTGGCTTGGAAATCAAAACTGCATTCCATAAATAGTTTTCAAAGATAGTAACTAGGTGACTGAAGTTTCTGCCAGGCAAAATTCTAACTGGAGAGTATGATTGATGACTCTTGGCTATGGATGTGTCTCATTGGAGAATATGAATTACGATACACACAGAGGGTGGAGGGAAAACCAGGGTCAAGGGTGATAATGAATTACATGCCTCAGAGTCGTCAGTGCCAGCATGTTAACTCCCAATAAATCCTTTTTAAGTTTGGGAAGTTTGGCTCGAGACTCATGACTTAAATGGGGGTAACTGCTGGAATCCTGACAGCATATTTATTTTCAATTATATGTGCTACACCAGGGGTGTCAAAATCATACCCCATGGGCCGGATGCATCACGTGCTGGCCCCACCCCTGCCCGGTTTGGTGAAGGGGGGGTTATATCCCGATACGTCACATGACACCGCCATGACGGTGTGAGTTTGACACCCCTGTGGTACACCAAATGGATCTTTTCTAGTTTTAGTTATATCTTCTGGAAATCTGAAGTTGTGGGGTTTTGGGGGTTGAGTAAGTACGTTGATCAAAGTTAACTTACTGGGAGCCACAAGCTTTAGTTCCCTTGTAACGGTACGAAGGTCATTCTTTGCCATACATCGAACGGCCATTATTTCTTCCACCTTCTGAAACGTCACCTGGCTAGCTACCATGTTCCTTTCATTGAGACTGGTCTCCACCGTGACATCAGAAATATTGTTGGTCAGGAGGGTCCATGAGGTGTCATTGTTGCATCTAGAAAGAAGCAGCTTTTTGATTGATCCCGCCAAAGAATCTTCTTTTACTAGTCAAACTATTTAGTGAATAGTTTTTCTTATTTTTTTTATATATATATATTTTTACTTTTTAACAACAAACAAACAACCACAAACATAAACACAAAACATAAAATCTTCTTTCCACTGTACAATGTGTTGGTTGGTGCAAATCTTCTTGTGTACAGTATCAATAATCCTTTCCTTCTGAATACATTATTAAAATTCATATTACATAATTATGCATATTATATTATTATTAACTACTTATTGGATTTTACTTGTAAACTATATCATCCTTTTTGAGCAAATTTCAATTTGTTTGTTTTTAAATAGCTCAATTCATAATATCATTAATTTCATTATAATCCATTGTAACATATTACATTGTCTTATCTTTATTCTATCATATTTACGTTGTTTTACATCTTATTTCCCTACTTTCTTTTCTAACCATTGATAAAATAAATCCCAAATTTTATAATACTCTTTATCTTCTTGCCTCTAATTGCTAATGTCAATTGACTCATTTCTGCACATTCCATTATTTTCATAATCTTCTGTTGGTATTTTCCCACTTTACGTCCATCCGGACACATTGCCCAAGCAGTATCAACGTTTTCTTTGAACAACAGCCACTGATTTATACTACAAGCAATTTCAGGAGTTTTAGGAATCTCAGTTGTTATCCCTGATTCCAAAATATTTATTTGATAGATTTATAGCCTGCTTTTCACACAAAATTTAAACTTAGGAAATATTGTTAGGTGCAGTTTATAAGGTTGAGTTAATCTTGGACTTCTGGTTTGTCGGCTTCACGAGCGGCAGGGATTTGCGACTCTCTGCGATCCCTGCCGCGCTAGCCGTTTTTGGTGCTCCGATCCGGACGGGTTCGGAGCTAGGCTACCCTGCAGGGGTAGCTGAAGATAGGGGGATCCGGAGAGGGGTTTGGGGGTGTTGCAGACCCCCTCCCCGGCCGGCAGAACCCCCTTTTCCCAAGACGGTGCAGCGGCGGTCCGCAATGGCCGCCACAAAGAAGCCGGCAGCTGGGTAAGAATGCGCAGGAGGAAGAGGAGAAAGCCTTTGAGAGTGAAAGTTTTCTTGGTTGATCCAGGACTCTAAGATACATTTAATATAATTACTGGAAATTATGGCTTTTTGGATGATTCTTTCCACAAGAGAAAATAAGCGGCAATTTTGAGGTGCTGAAAGGAAAGTTTATTCTTCCTCCCGACGGAATTAATAAGTGGATATTGAGAAACCTGTTTTTTTTCAGGTAAAACTAGCTTTATGTGATAAGTCGGAAGGGAGAGGACAAAAAAGATATTCATTTGGTCTGATGTTGTTGGAGGAGATGCCTTAAGGATTTGAAGACAGAAATATAATTTCAATAAGGCTTTAAAATACAGATTTGGACTTTCTTTTTTCTTTTGTCTGATACTACCCCCGGAAGAGAAAGGGAGAACTTTGTCTTGGCTTGGATTGATTGAGGACTTTGGGATTGTTCTATCTTTTTCTTGAAATATCTTGGTTGGTGTAAGAAGAAAGAGGGAAAAAAGAAAAGAAAAGAAAAGATTTATAATGGCTTTTCCTTTTGAGGATTTGAGGGAAGAATATGAGCAAATAAAAACAGACGGTAAAGATGGTATGGAAAAAGCCTTCCTTTTTTTAGAAATGGCGCTGGTTAACTATCAACAGACAATACAACAGATCGAGGCAGAAGAACAACAAGAAGAAGAAGACGAAGAAGCCATCTTTAATGAATTTCAAAATTTAACTAAGAAAGAAGGAAGGAAGGAAGCGAGGAAAATGAAGGACTTAAGATTTAAAAAAACATTCAAGAAAGAGAAAAATAAGATGCAAAATAAATATAATGATAGTAATCAAAAGAAAAAGGGAACACAACAGAGAAGGGATGCTAGCAAGGCAGAGGCTAGAAGAAGGGGGGTAGGAAGATTTGGTGGGGGAAGAAAGAAAGGGGAAAGGTGGAGAAAAGCCACAAAGTTTTGAAATTAGATGGGAAAAGAGGAATTTTTTTTAGGGACAAAGGGTAAAGTACAATTTCTTTAAAAAAGATTTTGCAAGGTACATAAGATGGTATTGTAATACTTGTATTAGAAATAGAAAATTAGAATGGCTTAAGAGTTAATAAGAAATTAAAATGTTGAAATGTTTAATAATGATTGATTTTAAAATTTAATAAAATATTAAAGGGAATGTTTAGAATATTGAGTTTTAATTAAAGAGTTTAATATGACTATGGTATTGATGTTATTATAAAACTATTATAGTAGCATTTGTTTTTTGAAAAGGCAATGGGAAAGCTATAAGATTTAATATTTAGATTTATTATTTAACTATGTATTCAATCATTTTGGATTTATTACTCTGTTTTTATTATTATTAAAAAAAAAATTAGTAGATAGAATGTACCAAGCAGAATCAGATTGAGTATTAGGTGTTATTTTAAATGTTAATCTAATTAATTTAGGGGGAGGATAGAAAGGTATCATACTCTGAGTAGTGATTTCAGGAGAAATTCTTTTTCTTTTTATTATAAGGAATGAGATAGAGGGATAATAAAGAATGGGCAAAAGATACAGATATAATGATTTAAATTAAGATGGATTAAATAAGATAGAATTAAGAAGAGTGAAATGTGTGGAGAAGTTTTTATAGAAGATATAGAATGGTAAATAAAATAGGTAATGATATGTAAGATGAGCATGAATATAATTGAAGCCCATGTAAAGAGAGGTACCTGGAGCCAAGTTACTTTCCTAAAAGATTTTTTATATGTTTGTTTGTTGTGTGTTTATGTTGTTGGAAGAATTAATAAAACCTTGTAAAAATACAGAATGAGAATAATGGTAACCAAGTCAGAAAGAAATAGATGAAATAATAATAGTGAAATTGAATAAGAGTAAAGAGAAGTAAAGAGAAATTGGATAAGTATTTTTATGCTCATATGGAAATGGCTTAAAATAGAATTATATTGTATAAAATAAGGTTTTATCTGACTTGTAAAACTTATAATGGAAAAAGGTTCAAGTATGTAATGGTTGATGATGATTTGTTTGTTTTTGAAATTAATAAAATTTGTTTTAAAAAAAAAGGTTGAGTTAATCTTGGACTTTAAATTATGTATAATTCCAACACACAAGGGGTACCAGTTTCTATAAGGAGTAGAATAGAATAATAGAGTTGGAAGGGACCTTGGAGGTCTTCTAGTCCAACCCCTTGTTTAGGCAGGAAATCCTATAGCATTTCAGACAAATGGTTATGTAATGTCTTCTTAAAAACTTCTAATGTTGGAGCATTCCCAACTTCTGGAGGTAAGTTACTCCACTGATTAGTTGTTCAAACTGTCAGGAAATTTATCCTTAGTTCTAGGTTGCTTCTCTGCTTCGTTAGTGTCCATCTATTACTTCTTGTCCTGCCTTCAGGTGCTTTGTAAAATAGGTTGACTCCCACTTCTTTGGGGCAACTTCTCAAATATTGGAACACTGCTAGCATGTCTCCCCTAGTCCTTCTTTTCATCAAACTAGACTAGGATGAAAATAATAGCTGTGGAGTAGACACCATGTCAGAAAAATGATTAACCATTGCTGTTTCTCCAACTCTGATTAGGAAATCTTGTGGCTTGGATTGTTTAAAGATACATTAAATGCATTCACACATTTAACGATACACCGATTGCACCCAGGAGTTAAAAATTCAAGAGGTGTTTTAACCAATAAAATGATATTCCCACTCCCAGATCTGAAATCTTTACACCAGTGATGTCTAAAAATGTATTTTCAAATGGTTTCAACTCCCATAACCCTTTAGCCATTTGCTATTTTTACTATTGTAGTTCGCCGGTAGCCGGTGGATGTGGCAATGGAATCGGACAGTGGGGAAGAATGGGGACCAGTCCAGGAGTCTGGAGTGGACTCGGACATGGGTCCTGCATCTGATGTAGAGGTGGGGCCAGGACCATCTGGGAGTTGTGTGCTGACTCCAGGGCCTCCGGAGTCTGGCAGCAGCGAGGCAGAGAAACAAGGGGACCCTGTTCCCAGTGCGCATGTGTGCAGAGCTGCTAGAAGGCAAGAGCAGTTGAGACAAAAAGGGGGACTTGGAAGTAAAGCTGGGAGGTGATTGCCCCTCCCATAAGATATAAAGGACAGGCAGAGGTGAAGAAACCTCTGCAGGAAGCAAGGTTGTTCGTTCTGTTCGGATTAATCCTTGAAGTCCGGGTGTGGACTTTGTACTTCAGTTGGTTTTTTTATAGTTCATTTGGCACTTTAGTTGTTGGCAGCAACTCAAATGAGAGACAGGTGAGTGCTTATCTCGAGGGACTGTTTGGGACTCATTACAGGCTGGGAATGAACATAATTCCCAGCGTTGCAATAAAACAAGAGTTCTTTTAGCTAAGCATGTGCTTGATTATGGTCTCAGGAAGCCTTGGTCAGAACATTTACTGCCCATTGTCATATTGTACTACTACTTTATTATTAGCTAATAAATGATTACTAATTTTAGAGTTATGGGAGTTGAAATGCAATACAAAACATGAAGGTACCCAGTTGAAGAACATATGTATTATGAAAAGGATAGAGAAAACATTATTATACCAGCCAGCTAAAGCCACTCGAGGCTGCAAAAAATGAAAGGCCTTACTTCTTAATGTCCTTGCAAACCAGCCATTCCACATCGGGCAAGGGTGTGCCTTCTGCCAAACATTTGACTGTCTGCCCAGAAGAGCCATGGTGATTATCTACCAGGTCCCGAATTAAAGCTGGAACTGAAAGGGATAAATTAGGAAGAAGATGTAAGAGGTCTGTGCGTTGGACGTGGTTTCTTCAGAGCCAGTCTATTCCTGAATTCACATCTGCCTAGCAGGCATTGTTGTTTGAGGAAATGCATCTTCAGAAATGGAGATGGTTTTTTTGCTTGTATTCCCTGAGACAAGACAGTCTCCTGCACTACACGAATTGTCTATGCCAGGGATCGCCAACCTTTTGGAACTCAGGGACCACCAAACTCATAATTTTAAATCTCGCAGACCAGAGGGACCCTGGGAAAATCCCAAAGAAAGTCTGCAGGAAAATTCCCCACCCCGTTTTCCTACCGATCGATCATTCTTTATTTGGGATTGCAGGATACTGTCTCCAGCTCCATTCTCAGAGAGAGAGAGAGAGAGAGAGACTTTGGGCTTCATGCAAGGAAAGGAGCAGAAGCAGCTCATGCCTTTCTTTCTCTCCCCCAAACTCTGCCAGAATGGCACAGCCTCTTGGAGCAGGGTGCCTTGCCAGGGTCCCAAAGACTCATTTCTGGCAGAGTTTAGGGGAGAGAAAGAAAGACTTTTGCTGCTTTCCTTGCTTGCAGCCAAAAGCAGAAGAAGAAAGAAGTGGAAAGAAGCAGCCCGGTGGCCAGGCGAGGCATGTGGAGCAAGTGGGGCAAGTTCCCCCCTCCACCCTTTCCCCCCTCCCCTCACTACCTCATGTTGTTCACAATGCAACTCATATTTGGTATTTGCAGTGTGAGCAAGAAGGAGACAGCAAGGAGCCTGGGTGTGGCTTAGCTCAGCTGTTCTGTACTAAAGCTGCCTTGGTGCTATGAAACTGAAACTCCTCTCCTCTGCTTGTGTTTTGCATTTGGAAGAGATTTCTTTTCAGGTGGGGGGAGGGGAGTAGAACTCCGTAGAATCAGAGCAATAATATAGGAAATACTAACGCTCTGATGGTCATTTCAAAAAATCCTTTCTTAGGGAGCCCCTAGGAGCCAAGAGGAACATACCTGCCAAATTGTGCATTGATATTGTAAATCCCATGATTAAAAACTACACACTCCTCTCTGTGTCAGAGAGAAGAGATCCCCAAAACAGCATTTACCATCTGCAAGTCATATAAAAACATTTAAAATCTAGGATCCAATTAATTGAAGCCCTTTTATTGCAAGTAAATAAAAAGTATCTGATAGCATGGAATGGAAACAGGTCTCTATGAACTCCTTCCAAATTTCTTCCTTAAACATGGTCATCAGGGTAAGTTCTCCACTAAATGCTTATTTTGTTCCGTAATTCCTTATCCCCTTAATGTGCCCCCTTCCTCTCTCCAAATTAAAACCACATGGATGTGACCACATCTGCCTTTCAGCCAAGCACACCAGATGTTTAAGTACAGTATGTCGACTGAAATAATCTCCAGACTATCATCCACCGGTATCAACAAGCAAGCACAATTTTCCTACATAATTTGCTAAGTTAACTGACTGAATTTCAGAAGTATTTCATGATGTGATGAGTCCATTGAAGCAGAGGTGGGTATTCAGTAGGTTCTGACCAGTTCTGGAGAACCGGTAGCGGAAATTTGGAGTAGTTCGGAGAACCAGCAAATACCGCCTCTGACTGGCCCCGCCCCCATCTATTCTCCGCCTCCAAAGTCCCAGCTGATTGGCTCGGTCTTCTTTTGTTACCCTGCACAGGAGAACGGAGCTGGAAAGCAGGTTAGTGGAGTGGGGAGGGAATGGGGATTTTGCAGTAACCTTCCCCTGCCACGTCCACCAAGCCACACCATGCCCACCAAGACACGCCCACAGAACCAGGAGTAAAAAAATTTGAAAAAAAAATTGAATCCCACCATTGATTGCAACCCTGAACTACAAATATTCTCCTTTACTGATATTGATATTGGTTTGTCCCATTTTACAGGTTTACCTTGTATGAGCAGAGAGAAAGTGTATCTTTGGATTTCATCCTCATTCTGTGCTATGAGTGTATAATATCCGCTGTCTTCTTCCTTGGCACGAATTAATTTTAATACACTCTGATATCTGTGAGAGGAGTAGAAAACAACAACTGTGATTAAAAAAAATAGCACAGCTCAGCAGGAAGCGGAGTCATTATTTTAATGGAAACCAAAATATATGGACTGTATCAGGAAAGACTCGTTAGACCAAAATGTCACCGTTCTTGAAGTACCTCTTCTCTCTGATCCTAAATCAAATGTATAGCATTTATATCCCGTTTTCCACTGACAGAGTTAAGATCACTGGCCTTACTTCTTGTTCTGACCGAGGCTTTGCAAAAATCACAAAACAGACTCCTTATCCCGAAAAAAACCCCTTTTTATTTGGCTAATGTGAATTTCTATCATTCACATCCAGAAAAGTCCCGGCAAACAGTCTTTCAAGGGTGAATTGCAACTACAGACCTTATCAGGCTTGGAGAACTGCCAGGCCGATAGCTTCCAAGAGCAATGCTGTACAAGGAAATACTTGGCAAGGAGTCTCGGGGAGTCATGAACTCAGATAAACAAATCTTCATGCTAATTGTCTCCTGCAAACATCACTCCCCTTTCACTCTTATTTGTTCCCTATGGAATGGGCCATTCACCGTCCACCTGTGCCTTTAGTCCCGAGTCAACCCTTGTTCCTTAACTGTTCCCTTCTCCTGGCAGCTCTGCACATGCACACATCGGGAACAGGCTCCAGCTGTTCTTCTGCCCCACTGATCTCCAACTACGAAGGTAGCCCTCGTCAGAGCCTTCCCCAGGCTCCAGGATTGGCCCCTGTTCCTCCCCAACTTCCTCACTGTCCGAATGTGCCACCAGCTCTGCTGGCCACTGGTGGCACATTCGGACACATTCATCCGAAGAAAATTGGGGGTGTTGGGACTTGTAGTCTGACTCTTGAGAAGACAGGCAGCAGACGGATTACACAGAACAATAAACACTGCAAGTTTGCAGTTATGAACTCATGTGATTTGGGACTGGAATAATTGCTGTTGCGGTGAGAGATATAGCAGAAGTGGGGGAAACGGGGAGAGGGGGAATAGAAAGTTCAGACTCACAACAGACAGGTTGTGAGTATAGAGTCAATATCTTCAATGATTTGGAATGAAAAGGGTTAACATTTTAGGGAAGAAAACACAGGAAGCTGTGTGTGTTTTGTAATGTCTACCTGGCACTGACCAACAAAGAAACAAGGAATAAACCAGAATTACTCTGTTCAACCAATACTTAGAACAGGGGTCCCCAAACTTGGCAACTTTAAGTCGTGTGGACATCAACTCCCATAATTCCATACCTGGCTGAGGAATTCTGGGAGTTGAAGTCCACACATCTTAAAGTTGCCAAGTTTGGGAACGTCTGACTTAGAATCATAGGGTTGGAAGGAACCTTGGAGATCTTTTAATCCAACCCCCTGACTATGGAAGGAGACCTTATACCATTCTAGACAAAGGGTTATCCAATCTTTTCTTGAGAATGTCCAACATATATTTTGACAAAGACAAAATCATTGGTCAAAAACAGAATAGATGTATAGACTGAGAACTAGGGAAAATTTTCAGAGAAGTATAGCATGGAATGAAGATTATTCAGCGTGGAGAATAAATAATTTCTGAGAAGAAACCTGGTTTCACCAATGGAGAATTCAATGGTGAAGAAACCCATCCACCCATGACAGACTTGTTCCTTTACCTTGTTTCTTGGATTTGCTTGGAACTGGTCACAATCTCCGTGAGATTCTCCATCAGAGTGACATTGTCCTTCAGCCAAAACAATTTTGGCTCTGGGTATGCATCGGCAAAAATTACAAAGTTTTTGACTTCGTGTAGATTGACAGCTTCTGTGGGCTTGAAATGGGGCTCCAAATGAATGAACCCTTTATCTGTAGGAAGACAATAGTTCCATGACTACCTCGGTTGCCATTCTCATGACCAACAGAGGGAAAAAGAGAAAGAGACTCTACCATGAACATAGATGGCTATCCTTTCCATTTTCTTGAAATCTTTGGTCACATGTCGGACAGCACACTCATAATCTCCACTGTCCTTCACTGATGCATCTGGAATGGTTAAATTATAAACCAGCTTCTGCGTTGGAACCTTGATGTCATCGAGGGTAATTATTCCTTTATTCTTCTGCATAAGGGAGAGAAGGAATAGAACAGATAGTCAAGACAGAAATCCTTTTAAGATAAGATACCTACAGAAAATATTATGCTATTTCATCAGCCTCCATGTCAAGGGTCTTCAAACTTGGCAAGTTTAAGACTTTTTTTTTTTAATTTTGTCAAGTGATTATAAGATAACAGGTATAAGTATAAACATAGTTATGAATACATGAAATGGATACATATAAGAAAAATAAAAAGAAACAATAGGACAGGGACTGTAGGCACATTGGTGCGCTTATGCACACCCCCTACAGACATCTTAGGAAAGGGGTGAGGTCAATAGTAGACAGTCTAAGGTTAAAGTTTTGGGGGTTTGGGGAAGAAACCACAGAGTCAGGTAGAGTATTCCAGATATTTCCTGAAATCAAGTTTGGTGCGGTTTACCTTGAGTTTGAATCTATTGTGTGCTCTTGTATTGCTATGGTTGAAGCTGAAGTATTATTCATTGACAGGTAGGACTTTACAATGTATAATTTTATGTACTATACTTAGATCAGATCGAAGGTGTCATAGTTCTAGGGTCTAGAATTTCAAGTCTGGTGGCATAAGGTAATAACTTGTAGACTTCAACTCCCAGAATTCCTGAGCTAACATGACTGGAGGAGGAATTCTGGGAGTTGAAGTCCACAAGTCTTAAAGTCCACTGTCAAGTTTGAAGATCCCTGCTCCATGTCCACAAAGATTTTCAGAGGAAGTCCTATTCTGGATTCCATATTTGTCAATGCTGTCTAATGTTATGCAGGTTGAGGAGTCCAAACCTTCTGGAGGAGAACACATTAGAGAAGGCTGCTTTGGATTACGACTTAAAGACATTTGGAAACGATCATGTTTTTTCATCAGCACAAGTGTAACACGTGAGCAACTATACAAAAACCATTTTTGCTGTATTATATTTTCCAGGTTGGTGGAAGTGTTACTGCTCTTCCTCTCCCGCTTCCTGTCAAACTCATGTGTTACTCATCTCCGCATAACATTTTGCAAAGCTCTGCAATGCTTGCTAACCATTAAGTCTTGACAGTTGACTAAGCGAATGCATTTAACAATTGGCCTTTCTTCCAAATGTTTTTAATCCAGTCATTTTCTTTTTTTTAAAAAAACAAACAGGAATTAAAGCCCCACCCACGGTATCCTCCGGTCATTGAGTCAACAACAAAGAGGGATATTTACCACTTTCCCTGGATAATTCCACTCTAGGTTCACCACTTCGTTATCCAAGACCACACAAGTAACAGTAATAGTTTCTCCTGTTTTATATACAGTCTTCGGGGACTCTATGTCAACATGAAGGTATGATGGAGCTGGAAGATGATTAAACATTTTAAGAAAGAATATGTATAGAACGTCGTTCTCTCGAATACCTTATTTTTCTCTGTATATTAAGGAGAACATCAGTATTAAAGAAGTGTGAGAAGAAATTTATTAAACTAAATCAGAGTATTTTCAAAAACTGTCATTTATGGGGCCAACTGAGGGCATCTGGAGGTTTTTTGAGCTAAAAGAACAAATAGAGTTCTGCATCCCATTTGCCATATAAAATAAATAACATATTTGAATTATTGTAAGGGTGGAACATGGTCCTCTTTGGGACTCAAAAGCAGGAATCTAGTTGTAGACTTGGAAAAGAGCACATTATTGTCTCAATTATTCTCCTTCCAGCACCTGGTCATCCTCCATCTGCCTGAACCTAGGGAATATAGCTAGTCCTATTGGCTGATTGGTGTGTCGATGGCTGGTGATTGGCTGTCATTTCCTTGTAAAAAGGGCTTGGCAGCACAAGGAAATGACAACCAATTGCCAGCCACCGATACACCAATCAGCCAATAGGAAGGCACCACATCAAGAAGAGATTGGACTGCCATTTGTCAGAAATGGTGTAGGGTCTCCCGCTTGGGTGGGGGGTAGGACTAGATGACCTACAAGGTCCCTTCCAACTCTGATTATCTGTTAAACATGATTCACAGAAAGCCCAAAGCACATATTCCAGTAGAGAAATTCCCTGAAGATGGGAATTTCCAGCATGAGTCCCAAAGCTCGGAAGAGTAAATTGCTGGTGCTTAGGGACCGACCCAAATTCAATTTTGCATGTGTTCAGAATAAATTATTAACCCCCATGTTAAATTCTCCAATAAAACATAATTTTTCTTTGTACAACCTCTCAGAATAATCACCCAGTTCTTAATGTTTGCCAGACACATTTAGAAATTCGGAAAAAATAGAAACTGGAGATTAGGAAGAAAAGGAAAAAAACCTGTACAGCAAATGGGAAGCAGTGACAGGGGGAAAAACACACTGTTATGGTTCACCAGCAGCAGGTGAGGATGGCTGAGGTCTCAGAGAGCGAGGACTCAGATGAGGGGCCTGCGTGTGAAGCAGGGATGGAGCCAGGACTATCAGAGAACGAAGTGCTGTCTTCAGAGCTTGTGGAGGTTGGCAGCAGTGATGCAGAGGACCCCGAGGAGACTGTGCCCGGTGGGCATGCGTGCAGGTCTGCTCGAAGGAAAGGGCAGCTGCAACAGCATGGGTGACTCAGGAGTAAGGCTGCAAAGTGATGGCCCCTCCCTTAAGGGATAAAAGCCAGCCCTCAGAGGTGGGATTCTTTGCAGGAAGCAAAGAAGTTCTTGCACTTCAAGTCCTCATGGAAGTTCAGTCTACCCTGGTTTGACATTTGGCTTTAATATTTCCTTGCACTTAATCTTGTGTTCTTGGCAGCCTTGCACAACCTTGACAGGCCTTGCTCTTATCTGGGACAATTAGTTTTAATAGCGTTTTACTGTGAATGAACGGAATTCACAGAGAAGCATTAATCTCTGTTTTGCGTTTGTTTGCTTTGAGTAAGGCTTGGGTCAGAACACACACACATATAAAGGAAGGTTAGGAAATTCTGGAGTCTTAGGAGAGGCTGGTGGTGGCTTATTGGTCTAATCACATAGCTAATCCTACCATTAAGGCCAGAGCTGAAGTATTTATGCCTCACAGGCCACATGAAAGAAAAACGATTTGCCTTCAATTGGTAGACAGGACTGGAACCAACCAAGCAAGTTCAAAGGACTTCCAAACTTCTGATCAGTACATTTTATTAAAGTAAAGTTAGAAATCTGTAAGTAGATTATTCCAATGACAAGCAGCATTTCTTTCTATAAAGTAAACATTCAGAATCTGTTTGTACCTTTCCTCCCTTTCTGGCTCTATATACGAGTTTGCTTGGTCTCTCTTCTGCACAGGAGATCCCATTTCCATCTGTCTTTTAGGGGAGTGGGGTGTAAACACTTACTTCCCTGCAGCCATGTGAGAATTAAATCTGTACAGATAGTCCTCCACTTGCAATAGTTCATTTAGTGACCGTTCAAAGTTACAACGGCACTGAAAAGAGGGGACTTCTGACCGTTTTTTCACACTTACGACCTTTTTCACAGCAACCCCACGATCCTGTGATCAAAAATCCAGATGTGACTCACACTTATGACCATTGCTGTGTCCTAAGGTCGTGTGAATCACTTCTGACAAGCAAAATATAATGGGGAAATCCAGATTCGCTTAACAAGTGTGTTACTAACTTAGCGACTGCAGTGACTCGCTCAACAGTTGTAAAATGGGGCAAAATTCACTTAACAAGTGTCTTCACTTAGCAACAGAAACTTTGGCCTCAATTGTGGTCATAAGTCGAGGACCACTTGTACTTATAAGATGACCGTGTCTTTAAGTAGAAGCAGTTGGGCCCTTTTGACGAAGCATCTAAGGAGACTCAACCTGTCATCCACCCCCTCAAGTATGAATCAGAGGAGGAAGACAAACAGCTGACAGGGAGCAGGAGTGTGGCTCCATTGGCTGTGGAAGAAACTGGGGAAGGGCAAAGTCAGGCTGGGCAGAGCAGGGAAGAGGTAGAACAAGGGAGAGGGAATTCGGAGGGAGACCAAGGCTCACCCCCTCTTCATCCTAGGGCACACAGGGAAGAACGGAGAAGAGAGCAACGTGGGTTGCATGGCTTACGAGAGAGGAAAGGGCCCTGATTCCCTTCACAAGGCACACTTGGGGATGGTGTTTAAAGGAGAGGCAGGTGGGTGAGGCGGTTGTCGGGAACAAACATTGAGTTTATCTTGTGTTTGACTGCGGTTATCTGAGTTCCTGGAATCCTCCCAACTGGTTTGATTTACTGCCTTGTTCCTTCATTTCTGGAGCTCCATATTTTGCTCTGCCAGATTTAATTACCTTATTTTGCCTTGTTGAATTTATGGTTTAAAGTTTTCAGTTTACAACTTTTGGACTGGAATATCTGCAGCCAAAGGCTGTTGCAGGTTCATGGGAGAGTTTTTCTCCAGACTGGAAGATAACCAGAACATTGGGGGCAAAGTTGGAGCTAATAAAGGAACTCATTCTTATTCTCTGACTGTGTTGCCTTTGTGCCACACCCCAGGTCATCACACAAACTTGCCATGTATCTACATTTCGATTGAAAAGTACAAAGAGATGTACCTTTGTAAACGTAGATGAAAAATTCTCCAGACTCGAATTCGACTGCTTTGACTGTTGTCTTGCATATGTAGGACCCCAAAGAGAAGTTCCCAATGAAGCCCAGCCTGTTGTCATAAGAGGCATACAGAATTTTTCCTTCTCTGTTCATCAGGGTGACCTGAGTGTTAGGATCAGTTGTGCGACAGGGGATAATTGAAGAATTGTCTTCCTCGCTGGCAACAATGAACGAATCTTCTGGGGAGGTCGGCACAAAGGGAACAGCTGAATCTGTTGAGAATGAGATACTCTGATGCATCAATAGGAATAACTACATATATTAATAAGTTCAATCTCAAGCCTGCATTCCATGTGTTGTACAGTAATGTGAGTTATTCCGGGTGATCCGCCTCTTGCTCAGCCAAGCTAATGCCACCCTAAACAAACTAGTGTGACAATATTTCTGCAGAAGGAGAATTCACACAGAGAACACCCAGGGTTGAGTCTCTCCAACCATAATCAGAAGGTGGGCACCCTTAGTAGACACATGGATTATTCTGAAGGCCCAATCTACCTGAGATGGACAGTCTGTCAGAAATCCAGGCTTCAGATACCTGGATCACATTATCATATGTGGTGGACGTGTGTGGAAGCTAAGAGATACTGAACTAAAATTCATACATGGTTTGAAAAAAAAATATGACAAAACAGCATATAGATTTGAAACCAGAGATATTTTTTTATTGGGTATCTTGCCTGAAGGATACAGTGGAGAATTGACATATTTGATTATAAATGTGTTAACAGCAGCTACAATTGCATTTGCTAGAAATTGGAAAAGTGAAAAAATTCCAATAGAGGAAGAGGTGATTAAGAAAATTATGGAATGTGCAGAAATGAGTAAATTGATATTAGCAATCAGAGAGCAAGAAGATAAAGAATATTACAAAATTTGGGATTTATTTTATCAATGGTTAGATAATAGAGAAGTAAATTATGTTATAAAAAGGAATAGTATGATATGCAAGATAATATGATGTAATATTATATAATTGAACATAATGAAATGAATTCTCAGATTTGTTAAAACTCAGATTTGCTCAATAAGAACTATGTGAATTTATAGCTGAGTCTAATAATGATATAATAATAATACAGTGTAATATAATATAATATGTATAGTTGACTTATGTAATGTGAATATATGTTTGAAAGGGGGAAGACTGTTGATATTATGACCTTGCACGAAAGAAATGTACCAACCAACACGCTGTATTTTGGAAGACGGTTTTATGTTGATGTTTTATGTTTGTGTTTGTTAGTGTTTGTCTTTAAAAAATAAAAAACTTTTACAAAAGAAAAAAGAAATCTAGGCCGTGAGCCATATTGAATTTTAAAAATTAGCACCCAGGACTTTGAACTATACTCAGAAACATAGTCTAACTAAAGCAGCTCTCATAACAGCAGAGTAATGTGGCAATATAGTGAGCGTGCTGGCCATTGAATTCTGACTGTCAGACGTTTCTGGCTGACCCTCATCAGAAGTCCCATGTGGGATGAATTGTAGTAATCTAGCCAAGAGATGACAAAAGAATGATTCTGTCCTTAGCTCATTCTATTCCAACTACAGCTCAATGCCAGTTAAAGCTTCTATCTGGTCTTCTACTTACTCCTTTAGTAGCAAATGGGTACCCTGTGAAGACCCCAGATTGTGAAGCTGTTCCCTCTAGGGTAGCACAACTCAACTGGTAATTAAAGTTGAAAACTTGGAATAGTCATGGAATCTGAATTAAAAGCAATTTTGTCTTGCTTGGTTGAGTGGCTTGTTTTCCCCCTGTTCAATCCTTGACTGTCTCCAGATAACTTCTACCACATTTCCCAGATGGCCTGGAATGGATATAAAGCTGGAAATTATCACTATATTGATGATACCTCATCCTAAAGTGACAGTTAACTTTTCCCAGTATCTCCATATGGAAATTGAACAGAAGAAATCTTGCAAATGCTTCACGCTCGTATTTCACCCAACCTCTGTTTGACATCTATATGAAGTCACTGGAGAAGGCCATCCATCAGCATGGGATGCAGGATCACCGGTATAGTGACCATAGTTGTGGGCTGACCAAGTGATAGTGTTGAGCTTTGGTTGTAGTGTCTGGAAGCTGTGTAGGTCTGGTTAGGGAAGAAGAACATTCAACTCAACTTTTAGCAAGACAGTTTTGGACCATCTTAATTCTGGGACTAGAAATTTTCCATCTTTGGCTAAGATAGGGACACTCTTATACTCAGAGTACAGTCTGAGGGATAGTATAGGTCACACAGTTTTCTTTGTGGTGTTATAAACTTTGAAAAAGCAGAATAGAGTATCAACTTTGAATAAGTATTGAACTTTGGTGTTGGGGGGGGGAAAATTCTAAGAAGGCTATGGAAGGCCAGGAAAAAAAATGGATCACAACCCAGAATTCTTATCCACACTACTATTGACCAGGTTGAAATTATCCTACTTCAGACACATCCTACGAAGACATAGCCCTCCGAGGAAGGCTCTAATGTTAGGAAAGAGAGAAAGAATACAAGAAGAGGAAGACAGCAACAAAGTAGACAGCAACAAAGGACTTAATTACAGCAAGGATCGTTGTACCACTGATGGACTTGAAGGATCAAGTTGGGAACATAATCTATGCCAGTGGTGGCTAACCTTTTTGGGCTCCTGTGCCAAAAACTGCCAGCACCCAGAATGCAATGCATGACCCCTCCCCTTCCCACGCCCCCTGTGCATGCGCACACAATTCCCCCCGCCACCCTCTTACCTGCACTGCTCCTCACAGCTGATTTTTCAGCTGGTTTGAGGCCTTTTTCAGCCTCCCAGAGGCTTGGAAAAAGCCTCTGCAAGGCTTTTCAGGCTAAATTATAGGTCCGTTTCATCACTTCCAGTATTACAGGAAGTGACGAAATGGGCCTATAATTCGGCCTGAAAAGCCTTGCAGAAGTTTTTTCCAAGCCTCTGGGAGTCCGAAAAAGACCTCAAACCAACCCCCCCCCCCAAAAAAAAAATCAGCTGTGAGGCGCACGCATGCGTAGTGAGGTAAGTTTGCCTGCGGCTCACATGCCAGCACAAATGGCTCTGCGTGCCACTTGTGGCATGTGTGCCATAGGTTGGCCATCATAGATCTATGCGGTTGTTGACAAATGACATCGGTTTGATGGCACACACAAGCAACTGTTTCAATATTCTTTCCAAAGTCTGCTGCCATTCTCAAGTCAACCCAAAGGAGCATCTGCCTGCCTTAATCCAATCTTCCATTTCCAAGGATAACCAAACAAGAACTCAGAGATATTTTGTCAGCCATCCCAAATAGACCAGTCAGGAAACATGACCAAATAAGCTCAAAATTCTCCTTTGACAGGTAATCAGTGGTGGGATTCAGCCAGTTCACACCTCTGCGGGAGAACCAGTTGTTAACTTTCTGAGCTGTTTGGTGAACTGGTTGTGGGGAAAAAATTATTAGGGCAGAGAACCGGTTGTTAAATTATTTGAATCCCACCACTGCAGGTAATCCTCCATTTACGACCACAAATTGAACCCCAAATTTCTGCTGCTAACCAAGGCAGATGTTAAGTGCTGGCTCAGGAATTCTGGGAATTGAGGTCCACAGGTCATAAAAGGGCCATAGATCCTCACCCCTGCTATAAATGAATGCATTTGCTATCTCCCCAAAAGATTTTGATAGCCCCACCTTTCTTCTCATTCCCCAACGTTTTCCTTCGGAATTGATTTAGTATATGCACTTTAAAAGCTTTCTGCTTTCAATAAAGAAAATGGCTTCCACCTGTGCCTTCAAAAATTCTTCAAAAAATGGTACTTTCCTAGAGATAGACAGCTCATAATGAAAAAGAGCCCCACATTTTCATTGGAATAATAAAGAATGAACTAAATTAAAGTTTGCATGCTTCTCAGCTAATCCTATAATCCATAGGGAAAGTTGTAGTCTAATAGAGCAGCCAAAGTCTAATTATTTTATTAAGCAGTATATATTTTAGATGGGTGCCCTGTAGTACCGAAAGGACCAAGCCTTAGATATTTGAGTTGATTCCATAAACTGATAACGATTCGTTGATGCTGATTTTGTATTCCAGGGGTTTTCAACCGGCAGTCGACAGACACGATGCCCATGCCCATGGCCACAAAAGGTATTTAAAGGGAGTCCGTGGTGAAGAATAGGTCGAGAATCACTGAGAATTCAATTGCTCTAAGTCAAAGGGATCCAGTAGAAGCTACTTGTCTCTTTATCCCAAACCCTACCAGTTGACTTTAATAGCAATAGCACTTAGACTTATACACCACTTCACAGTGCTTTACCGCCAGTAGTGGGATGCTGATGGTTTGCACCGGTTCTACTGAATCGGTAGCGCCGGTAAGCAGTTGGACCTGCCCAACTGCCTCCGCCCTTTCCTGTGCTTTATTGCTTGTTTGTGTGCTCAGATGATTTCCATGGCAGAATCAGAAGCGCCATAGAACCAGTAGTAAAATAGAACCAGTAGTAAAATAGAACCAGTAGTAAAATAGAACCAGTAGTAAAAAAAAAAAGGGTGAATCCCATCAGTGTTTACAGCCCTCTCTAGGCAGTTTACAGGGTCAGCCTATTGCCCCCAACAACCTGGCTCCTCATTTTACCCACCTCAGAAGGAGGGAAGGCTGAGTCAACCTTGAGCCTGGTGAGATTTGATCTGCCAAATTGCAGTCAGTCAGCAGAAGAAGCCTGCAGTACTGCGCTCTAACCACCGCGGCGCCACTGTGGCTCAAGTCAACTCACCTGGCACAAAAATGTAGATCTCTTTCCCCTCCACCTCGCCATCTTCCTCTTGAGAATGATTATAATAACAAATGTATAATCCGGTGAGAGAAGCCGAAGCGTTTGCCACTTCAAGGACGGTCACAAAAAGGCCACTGTTGTTCTCTTCATTCCTGATGGTTATGGAATGGTTGCCTTCCGGGATAGGATGCTGCCAGCTGACTTCGCTGTCTCCAGAACACTTCAGCGTGAAGGGGCCATTCAGCTGCACGACCATTTGCTCTTCGTTTGGAAGAATAGTGGGAAGCAAACTCTGGCAGGAGATGATGCATGACCCTACAGGGGGCAAAAAAAGCAAGGTGTGTTACCAGGAAGAACATGGTTAAATCTCGAGGAAGAGACAATCAACCCCTTTGGGCCATTTCCATCACTGCCTCTCTGAAAAAAAATCAACAAGAATAAAATCAACAGGAACTCTACGAAAACAAAAAGCGAGAAAGTTAAACCAGAGAAATGGTGTCATAGGGCCTCCTGCTTGGGCGGAGGGTTGGCAACCCATGGCTCTAGAGCTGCATGTGGCTCTTTGACCCCTCTGCTGCGTCTCCCTGCCAAACCGGTAAACTTTTTCTGCAGTTCAGTGAAGAGGCTGATTCCACCACGGGCTGGCCCTGCCCCTCTCCCCTCCCCTCCCAGTCACTCCTCGCCCAGCATGAGAAGATAAGGGCGACAGCAGGGAATGGAGAAGCAGCCGGGACTGATTCTCCAGTGCCTCCTATCTTGCTGGGTCTCGCAGGCACTTCTTCCAGCCCTTGTTGGTGCTGGTTCTGCCTCAGTCGCTCGGGGAGACATGCAACCTGCTCTCCATACCAAGATCTGCCCTAATGACTGGCTGGGGAAGCATGGCTGGGGAGGTCATGTGACCGGGTGGGACTGAGTGACAGGTGAGTTGGCCACGCCCACCCAGTCACACCGGTTGTTTAATTATTGGCTCCCGGTGTTTTCTTTTCTGTGGGAAACGTTCCCTTCCAACTCTGTTATTTGGTTATTCTGTTTCTGGAATCCGTTCCTCTTAGAGCAGGCTTGCCATCTTTGATTACAGGGAGTCTTCGGCTTACGACCACAATTGAGTCCAAAATTTCTGTTGCTAAGCGAGACATTTAAGTGAGTTTTGCCTCATTTTATGACCTTCCTTGCCACAACTGTTAATTGAGCCATTGCAGTTGTTAATAGTAAACACAGTTGTTCGGGGAATCTGGATTCCCCATGGACTCTGCTTGTCAGAAGATCAGCAAAAGTGATCGCATGATCCCCAGGACACAGCAACTGTCATAAATATGAGTCAGTTGCCAAGCGTCCGAATTTTGATCACATGACCCTCTAGGGATGCTGCTGCAAGATTGTGTCATGCCCCTGGTGGAGACTGACGCTGAGGGAGAAGAGAAACAGCCAACAGGGAATGGAAGTGTGGCTCCGGAGGTTGTGGAGGAGGCTGGGGAAGGGCAGAGGCCGGCTGGGCAGTGAGAGGAGGACCCAGGCCCATCCCCTCTCCATCCTAGGGCACGCAGGGAGGAGAGGATACAGGAGAGACCTGGTCTGTGGGGGAGGAGAGGGCCTTGATCCTCTTCATGGGCTGTAGCTGTGACAACTGAATAAGAGGATGGACATGCGTATGGGCGAGTCCTGGAAACAAAGCATGGAAATATCTCTAGTTTATGGCTCCTCTCTGAGGAGTGTGCGTTCTGTTATCTGTGGACGTCCTCCAGCCCTTATCTTGCCTGGTTTGTGTTGCTTTTTAATTTTTATAATTTAAATGGCATTTCCTTCTTCTGGTAACTGCTCGTGTGGGAGTTTTTTGTCTCTAGTCAAGAATATTCGGAGCTTGGAAGCAAAGTGAAGGAATAAAAGGGGCTTCACCTGTTTTTGTGACTATGTTTATTTTGTATCCTACCCTGGGTCATCACACACTGTAAGTGTGAAAAATGGTCATAAGTCCCCCCCCTTTTTTTCCCAATGTCGTAACTTTGAACGGTCACTAAATGAACTGTTGTAAGTCGAGGACCACCTACATTGTGATTGCAAGTCGTTCTGAAGCATTCAAAAGAGCCTCGGTGGAACAGTGGTTAGAGTGCAGTACTGCAGGCTACTTCTGCTGCCTGCCGGCTGCCTGCAATTTGGCAGTTCGAATCTCACCAGGCTCAAGGCTGACTCAGCCTTCTGTCCTTCCGAGGACCCAGATTGTTGGGAGCAAGAGGCTGACTCTGTAAACCGCTTAGAGAGGGCTGTAAATAAAACACTATAAAGTGGTATATAAGTCTAAGTGCTATTGCTATTCCCAAACTGCATGGTAAATACATTTGCCTGGAAAGACTTTGTACATTTTGCAAAGCTTGGCTTTTCTGCTCATTTAAATTTTGTTTTTATTATATTGTTCCTAAGAGTTTTTTTGTAGATGTCAAGCCCAAACAATGATATTAGTTTCCAAAATAGCGTTTCTTTCTTTAAACAGAGATGGAAGGGACCATGTAGGTCATCTAGTCTAACCCCCCACACACACTCAAGCAGGAGATCCCATTTTGCACAATGTCCCTCTTCCTATGCTGCAAGTTTCTTTTTTTATATATATATAAATTTTTATTAGACAAACGCAAAAAACGAAAAGAACATTAAAAACAATGAACATGATGCAATCACCCTAACCCACATAATTGTCATACATTGCTAAGTCACATATAAAAATGGTACATATTTACATTCCATATACATAGCATATAATGTATACTCATTTCTTATAATAATCATTTCTTATTATCCTGATCCTTCCTCTTTTCTAACCAACAATAAAACTTATCCCATACTTTGTAATAATCCGATTCATCCTTATTTTTTAATTCTTTTGTCAATTTGTCCATTTCTGGGCACACCCAAATTTTACTTCTATTTCATTTGGAGTTTCTTTACATTTCCACTGTTGTGCATAGGCCAATCTTGCAGCAGTAATTACATGAATTATTAGGTATATAATATCTTTATTGTATTTTCCCACATTAATTCCTAACAAGAAAATTCCAGGTCTATATTCTATTTTAATCTTCTAACCATTTCTGAATTTTCTGCCAAAACTTTTGAGCTTTTTTACAGTTCCACCATAAATGATGATATGCTGCAAGTTTCAAACTGGACCAATGCAGGAGCATATTTCTTGTTCCAGAGACGATCAGATCCTCCGTAAATCCAAAGAAACTTAGTATGTCCTGTCTACAAATTGAGCACCTGCCAAAGAAATTAATACATATTTTTCCCCGGGCCAAACTTAGCTATTAACTTCACCTTTCTCTAAAATTCTCAATGGATCTTTTCCAGCTCTGGCCAGCCCAGAAAATGTATGAAATGTATGAAATTCAGATTTTGTTATCTTTGAGTCTGAGCATGGCATGCTTAACATTCTTAAAGATTTGCACCCATGATCTCCCTTCTGGGAAGAGAAATGATACATGATGAGAAAAAGCAAAACAGCTCCCTTTTTTCCCCCTATGCAATTCCAGGAGATAAAATACGTTTCTGATGCTGTTTCTGGGACCAGAATCACCGTATGAAAATGAGAGTAAAATGAATTGAAGGTGTTTGCTTGCTCAAGCAACAGACTAGAATTCTGGAATTCCTCATCTACTGGAAAGGCTGGCAGAGGAGATCAAAAATACCTGGAGAAAGCTCCAGGCTGCTTGATCCAGGCTTCAGCAGGCTAGATTTAACCAAAGAGGCTATCTGACAAATGCTAAACTTGGCAAAAATCTTCCATTGAAGGTAACTTGACCTTGAACACTGGGCCCTATCTAACAAAATGAAATTCAATGTAGAGAAAAGTAAACTCTTACACTTAGGCAAGAAAAACCAAAAGTACAGATATAGACTGGGTGAAACCAGGCTCAATAGCAGGAACTGTGAGAGGGATCTTGGAGTCTTAGAGGACAACCAGCTAAATAGGAGCCAGCAGTGTGCAGCAGCAGCCAAAAAAGCTAATGCAATCCTAAATTGCATTAACAGAGGGATACAACTGAGATCAAGTTAGGTATTAATACCACTCTATAAAGTCTTAGTAAGACCACACCTAAAGTACTGCATCCAGTTTTGGTTACCACATTATAAAAAAGATGTTGAGACTCTAGAAAGAGTACAGAGAAGAGCAACCAGGATGATGAGGGGACTGGAGACTAAAAGATATGAAGAACGGTTACAGGAACTGGGCATGGCTAGTCTAGTGAAGAGAAGGACCAGGGGAGACAGGAGAGGAGTCTTCCAATATTTGAGGGGCTGCCACAGAGAGGAGGAAGGGTCAAGCTATTTTCCAAGGCACATGAAGGCCAGACAAGGAATAATGGATGGAAACTGAACAAGGAGAGATTCAACCTGGAAATAAGGAGGAATTTCCTGATAGTGACAACAATCAACCCATGGAACAGAAGTTGCGTTCAGAAGTTGTGGGAGCTTCATCACTGGAGGCTTTTAAGGGGAGACTGGACTGCCATTTGTCAGAAATGGTGTAGGGTCTCCCGCTTGGGTGGGGGGGGTTGGACTAAATGACCTACAAGGTCCCTTCCAACTCTGTTAATCTGTTAAATCTGTAACTCTTACCTGCAAGGAGATAGCCCAAGATCAAGACTTCCTTTCGGGAAGGTCCCATGGCAAAGGCCAACTGAAAACAGAACACAAAATGAAAAAAATAATAATGATTATATAGAAAACGGATAGGACATACCTGCAATGCAGGCTGGAAATATCTACAGGTAATCCTCAACTTACGACCAGGGTCGAGCCCAACATTTCTGTCACTGAGACCGTGGTTGGGTGAATTTTGACCTGTTTTACGACCTTTCTTGCCACCGTTGTTAAGTGAGGTTAAGTTAATATCACAGGTCGTTTAGTGAATCTTACTTTGCTCGTCAGAAGGTTACAAAAGAAGACTTGTCTTTACGACTGCAACCGTCGTAAAGACAAATCAGTTACACATAAGATGATTTCTACTGCCAATACACTTCAAGGTGTAGAAAACAATGCATACAAGCACAACAAAGAATGTTTTTTCTGCTCCAACTCAGGAAGCTCAAACTGCCGAAGGAGCTGCTGATCCAGTTCTACAGAGGAATTATTGAGTCTGTCATCTGCACCTCTATAACTGTCTGGTTTAGTTCTGCAATCCAACAGGACAGACACAGACTTCAGAGGATAATTAGGACTACAGAAAAAACAATTACTACCCACCTGCCTTCCATCTAGGACCTGTATACTGCACGAGTCAAAAAGAGGGCTGTGAAAATATTTACAGACCCCTCACATCCTGGACATAAACTGTTTCAACTCCTTCCCTCAAAACGACACTATAGAGAACTGCACACCAAAACAACTAGACACAAGGACAGTTCCCCCCCCCCCGAAAGCCATCACTCTGCTAAACAAATAATTCCCACAACACTGTTCAACTGTTACAAAGTCTGCACTACTATTACTGTTAATCTTCTCATCACTCCTTATCACCCATCCCCTCCCACTTGTGACTGTATGACTGTAACTTTGTTGCTTGTATCCTTACGGTTTATATTAACTCTTTCCCAGTATGATTTGATTGCTTATTGTACCCTATGACTACTATTAAGTGTTATACTTTATGATTCTTGACTCTTGACAAATGTAGCTTTTCTTTTATGAACACTGAGAGCATTTGCACCGAGACAAATTCCTTGTGTGTCCAATCACACTTGGCCAATAAAGAATTCTATCTATTCTATCTATCCTATATTGTATCAGATAACACGTTTCCACTGATGATACTATGACAATTGAATCAACATCATGAATAGTAGTATGCAAAGGTCTTACAAATTCCAAACCTCGGTGTGTCTGAATCAACATCTTAACAAAAGAGCAAATGCAGCTCTAGAAACACGTTTCTTCGTCCTTAGCATCAAGTAAGAAAAGATTTTAAAAGCGGGGTTTGGGGGATTCAGAGATTAGCTTCTCTCAAAATCAACACCATTTGGTGACCCTCTTCTCCAGATGTCTTCTGTTAGTTGTGAAAACCTCAACTTCGAGATGCAGGAAAGTCTTGTAAAAATAGATAAAAATAAAGTCGCCACCCTAGCTTAGTTCAGCGGTGAAAATCTGGGATGAAACCACCTTCGGTGCTCAAAAAGAAGCAACATCGCTAAACCTCTGCCCACAAAACCCGAGATTAATCTTGAAAGGAAGAGAAATGGCATGTGGAATTTAAGATGGCAGAAGACAAATTTCCATGTTCCAACAACTTTCCATAATCGGCTAACAGCTAAAGAGAAGACTAAAAATCTACATCTTTCAGATATTAAGGGACCACTACAAACATAACTAAGCGTTTAGTTGGTCCCAAACTCTTTACATAAGGGTCATGTTTTTAATTTTACCGAAATAGCAGCTGCTAAGGTAAAAAATTAAACCTACCCGGGTGAAATATGACAGTCCTGAAAGTATATATTTGTTTGCTTTTAATTGACATGATTCCCTCTAAAGGCTTTTGAGCTGCATCTAATTTGACTCTGGGAGGTTGATTTAACACTCTCTAAAGCAGGGGTATCCAACCTTGGCAACTTTAAGACTTGTGGATTTCAACTCCCAGAATTCCTCAGCCAGCTTTGCTGGCTGAGGAATTCTGGGAGTTGAAGTCCACAAGTCTTAAAGTTGCCAAGGTTGGACACCCCTGCTCTAAAGCATTAATTGCATTAACAAATTTAAAAAGCTGCCAGTCTTTTCGTTTATCAAAATAACTGACCCAGTGGTGGGATTCAAATTTTTTTACTACCGGTTCTGTGGGCGTGGCATGGCTTGGTGGGCGTGGCAGGGGAAGGATACTGCAAAATCCCATTCCCTCCTCACCCTATTAACCTGCTTTCCAGCTCCGTTCTCCTGTGCAGGGCAACCAAAGAAGACCCAGCCAATCAGCTGGGACTCGGGAGGCGGAGAATAGATGGGGGCGAGGCCAGTCAGAGGTGTGGCATTTGGTGGTTTTCCGAGCTACTCAAAATTTCCGCTACCGGTTCTCCAGAATGGGTCAGAACCTGCTGAATACCACCTCTGATGCAGATATGAAGGAAATCCTGCAGGCTCCAAATAATGTATGCATAGAAACTGCTGCCTACATTTTGATAGAGATGCTCACCAAATGTATTTTTTCTTAAAAGCGCTAGTAATTCTGACCTTTTTTAATTCAAAAGCACCCAGTTGGGAAATCTGCAGTTTATCCCCTTGTTTAGGATAGGATAGGATAGGATAGGATAGGGTAGGGTAGGGTAGGGTAGGGTAGGGTAGGGTAGGGTAGGGTAGGGTAGGGTAGGGTAGGGTAGGGCAGGGCAGGGCAGAGCAGAGCAGAACAGAACAGAACAGAACAGAACAGAATAGAATAGAATAGAATAGAATAGAATAGAATAGAATAGAATTCTTTATTGGCCAATTGTGATTGGACACCCAAGGAGTTTGTCTTGGTGCAAATGCTCTCAGTGTACATAAAAAGAAAAGATACATTCATCAAGAGTCGAGAATCATCAGGTACAACACTTAATGATAGTCATAGGGTACTATAGGCAATCGAATCATACTAGGAAACAGTCAATAAAAATAGTTAGGATAGAAGCAACAAAGGTACAATCATACAGTCACAAGTGGGAGGGGATGGTTGATAAGGAGCAATGAGAAGATTAACAATAATAGTAGTGCAGACTTTGTAATCATTGAACAATGTTGAGCGAATTTACCATCTTTGGCTGAAGCAGCACCAGCAAGGACACAGACCATGATAAGCGGGCCATCATGTCCTGCAAAGTTATAAAAGCAGAGCAATCTGGACTCTTCAAATCAGTTGACTGCCAGATCAGAAGAAGTGATTTACTGACCGGTGGGCTGGCAGGATCTCAACAGCGGCGCTGGCTTTTTAACAAGATTGGTGTGTGTGTGTGTGTGTGTGTGTGTGTGTGTGTGTAATGAATCACTGACCTCCAATCCACCACCAGGCCTGACTGACAAATGATTAGCAAACAGGCAGATGGCATTCCTGCAGAAAGGAGTCATTTGCCTTGGTTTTTCAATTAGCAATAATAGCCGTGTGTTTATGTAAAAGTGCCTCCCCACTGATAACCAGGCTCTTGCACATCAAAGCCACCTTCCCTTCCAGCCTTCCCACTTTTTTTATCACAGTTCTACCCTTTATTTTTTCTAGATAAAGAAACCCTTGCTGCGTATGTCTTTCCACAAGGAATTCCTGGATTCATCTTGGATTTGTCCTGTGGCAAATGTTTCTACCCCTTCTAGAATTGCCAGCTAGATTTCACGTTCAAAGAAGAGCAAACTAAGAGGATCAAAGGCTTGTAGATTGGAAGGGAAATACCATGTGGGCCCTGTATTGTTAATTAGAATAAGTAATAATTAAGAATAATTATATTGATATTAGTTTATTTTTTATTTTTGTTTTTGTTTGATATACATTGGCCTTGAGGAAGTAAAAGAAGAAAATACATAAAATAAAATAGGTGGTGAGATGGAAATGAAAATAAATGGGGATAAATGGGGGGGGGATGTATTAGGATGAAAATGTTTATGTTATTGTAATAATGAATGAAAAAAATATGAAGCGAAAATTTATTAAAAAGGAAGAGAGATGGCCTTGTGTTCTGTGCTAGAAAGCAAGATAGAATACAGTACAGATTATTAGTTCCTCTTATTAGTTCCTTTCATTAGGGATTGTCCACAAAGCATAGATTTCATTCATCTATATGCCAAGTCTTGCTAAAAATGAACAAAATTGGATGGTGGGCAATCAAGCATCTTAATATTTAAAAAAAAAATAATTCCACAGCAGCCACTCTTCAATTTCTTAGAATAGAAGCCATAACCTCTCTTATATATTTTTCTTGCACATTTACAGTATATTCACAAAGAAATACTTATTCACAAGTGAACTGCCATGCTACGCAAACTGTGAAGTCCATCAAACTCAATAGGACTCGAACGTAGAATTGGCCACTCAAAAGCACTGAGAGTTGATGTTTTTTCCAGGAGGTACATCTACTTAATCCATTAGTAAATTACAAGCAGTCCTCAACATATCACCATTCGTTTAACAACAGTTTAAAGTTACACCGGTCTGAAAAAATGCAACTTACAAATTGTACTTCAACTTACAACCATTATACTACCCTTGGCACTCAATTCAGGTGTTTTGCAAACTAGTTCACATTTATGACCTGTTGTAGTATCCTATAACCATTTCCAATCATTTCTGCCAATTTACAGAAGAAGAAAAAAACATTGGGAAAGCTGGATTCATTTAACCGGTCTAAAAAGTGTAATAAAAATCAGGTTTGATTCAATTTACGACTGCAACAATTTACAACAGAAATTCCACTCCCAATTGTTGTCATCAGTTGAGATTACCTATTTAATGTTGCTTCTGATAGCAACATTAACAATGTGATGGGTCATTAGTCACAAAAATTGACTTGGGAAGAGGGAGAAAGTACAAAACAAGGTTGGGGATGATGGGTGTTCACAAAAAAACTGCAATAAATAATGAATAAAGTATATTTCTCCTTTCCAATAGCATCACCCTTCTATCCATCCTCTAGAGTTTTATTAAGCAGAATCTCTGTTTACACACAGCGTCTCCAATTTGAT